GCCAACGGAGACCAGTACCCTCCAGAACTCTGCCGGGAAAACGCGCGCTACACACTCTGACAATCTTTTACGCATGCACATGCGCTTGCTCTCAAGATCTGACCTTTACATGATCGAACGTCCCCATTTCTGGGGCAGAGCAAAAGAAAATGAGACAGAACTGCATAGCGCTTCAACAGAAAGGACAGAGTCACAGGGAAATGACAGACTTCATGTCTGTGAGCGCTGCAGGGCTTCCTTCTCTCTCACATTATGGCGGCAAATACGGCTGCCTCCCACGTACACCTTTTGCTTTCATGTGGGCGGACTTTGATTCGGAGAGGCTAACAAAGGCAGTTAAAATAAATCCTTACACAGGACCTAGTTAGCACAGAGCGACCTGTCCGACCCCCATCGTGCTCATGCGGGAGAGACGTCACAGGTAGACAAGTTCATGCCTCGGAAATTAAAGTCACTCAACACACGGCTCTTCCGCAGAAGAATTCAAGGACAGTCACAGCATTTCCCCTAGAGCCATCATTCAAAAATACAAAATTAATTCACCTGAACAGAAAGCCTAGAAGCGAGGCCTCACTGTAGGAAAGCACAAGAACTAGGAGAGAGAAGAAAAAAAGCGTTCAGGTTAAAAAAAAGAAGGAAAGAAAGGCGCATAGGCAAGTCAGCGTTACCAGCAACAGCCTCAGCAGAAAGTTGTGCTTGGTCCCATTCACCTGGCCACCAGCAGAGGGAGCTATTTTCCAGCGAAAAGATAGGACTCAGAAATTTATCTCAAGACAGGAAGAATCCACCTCGACTTAATTGATGCGGGCCATTCAAACTCTATAGAAACTCAAAGAGGTGTCATTGACTATTTACAATCACAATCCTTGGCGAGCTACTGCTGGAATTCAGGCTCTCACTAACGGTCTATGGCAGCCATGGGCAAACTACGGCCCGCGGGCCGGATTCGGCCCGTTTGAAATGAATAAAACTAAAAAAAAAAAAAAGACCATACCCTTTTATGTAATGATGTTTACTTTGAATTTATAATAGTTCACACAAACACTCCATCCATGCTTTTGTTCCGGCCCTCCGGTCCAGTTTAAGAACCCATTGTGGCCCTCGAGTCAAAAAGTTTGCCCACGGCTGGTCTATGGTCAGGCCTCGTTGTATCACTGTTTCCTCAAAGGTCTACCGGAAGGGCTGGGCTGTGCCAGCTTCCCGAGTCTTACCTTCAGCAGCTCATCCTCACCAGCATCGGGGAACTTCTCATGTAGCGAGTCCTTCAGCACTTTGGCGATGAAGCGCATCCCGTAGCTGTGAGATGGACACAAGGCGTGAGAGGGGCCGGGGAGCAGGAGGGCACTCACGCTGGGCTCTGTCAGGGGTCACGAAGGAAGGCACTCACGGGATTTTGTCCACGGAACTGATGATGGCGGAGAGGAACTTGTCTGTCACGGCCCGCATGTTCCTGATGGAGTTGTCGAGACGTGTCTTGACCTCTTCGTGAGCCAGAGCCTGCTCGGGAGTCACGTCATAGGGGAGTTTGCTGGGAAAGCAGAAATTACCCCCAATATGGTTAGACCAGAAGCCAGGCAGTGCCTGAGGCAGGGCCACGCATTTCATGAACAGAAAGACCCGGAGAGACTAGGCAACTTGCTCGTGTTCATTGACCTGGTAAATGATGGGGCCGGGATCTGAACTCGGATTTTCAACTGTGAATTGGGTGCCTTAAATTATGTGCCCGGCACCATGATAGGCACTTGGGATGAATGGTGTATGGGACATGATAGCTTCTCTAACTACCTGGTGGGAGAGACAAACGGGCATTTATTTAAAACATATTGTGCTGTGTAAATGGCTACTTATTTTGTATCTACAATCTGGTAATGGATTTATTTTGTATATTGTAAAAAAAAAAAAAAAAGAATAAAAAGAAAAAGAAAACACACAAAACATATTGTGCTATAAGAAGCTGACCACAAACCGGTTTGGCTCAGTTGATAGAGTGTCGGCCTGTGGACTGAAGGGTCCCAGGTTCGATTCCGGTCAGGGGCATGTACCTGGGTTGCGGGCACATCCCCAGTAGGAGATGTGCAGGAGGCAGCTGATCGATGTCTCTCTCTCATTGATGTTTCTAACTCTCTGTCTCTCTCCCTTCCTCTCTGTAAAAAAAAAAAAATTAATAAAATATATTAAAAAAAAAAAGAAGCTGACCACAGTGCTGCGGGGCCAGAGGGGCTTCTACTCAGACTGGGGGAATCAAGGAGGGCTTCCAGGAGGAAGGGGCTCGGGAAAAAGGAAGAAGGGTCTTCTAGGAAGGAAGATCAAATGCAAAGAAAAGGAAGAGGAGAAATGAGGGCGGGGAAGTAAGCAGCGCCCTGCATATAATGCTAAGACTTCTGGACTTTCCTGGAAGCCAGGGAGAGCCGTTAGTAAGAACTCAGTAAATACCTGCTAAATAAATGAACATGTTACCAGGCCAACAATTTAATAAAGAGGTTTCTAAGGAAAAACTATTTGAACAATGATTAGCTCGTAAATCAAAGGTCAACTGCTTAGAGAGAGAGAGAATGAAACACAGGACAGGAAAGGGTGTTGTGGCTACACACCTTGCCTCTCCTGTCTGAGACTCCATCTGGTTAACCCACGACTTGTAGATATCCACGGGGTCAGTTTTGATGTTGAGGGATTTGTCGTCCATAATCTCCTTCACGACCGGGGCCAAGATCTGCCGCAGGGCGTTCTGACCCCGAGCGCCACGGTTGAAACTGACAACCATCTTAATAACGGTAGGGTTTCCTGTCACGATCTCTTGAATCTGGTCCACTTTTGACCTATGAAAACATCAGAAACAAACTCAGTTTAAACTATACAGAATCTATGAGCTTAAAGATCCTTCCTACTTAACGATCCCATTTCCTGGACATACGTAATTGGAAGGAAGCGGGTACTCTTTCTGTCTCTACTAACACTTGTCCAAACACAGAACACCTTTCTGTTGCTGCAAACACAATCTTGAGAGCATAACTGGGTCCTTTATTAGATAGAAATGTGGAATCTTGGTGTTTGGATCAGCTTCTTAAAAATTGTATTTTAAGGAACATCGGCCTGTGGTCTAAAGGGTCCTGGGTTTGATTCCTGGACAGGGCACATGCCCGGGTTGGGGGCTCCATCCCTAGTGTGGGGCATACAGGAGGCAGCCGATCCATGATTCTCTCTCATCATTGATGTTTCTCTCTCTCTCTCCCTCTCCCTTCCTCTCTGAATTCAATAAAAATATTTTTAAAATAATAATAAAACAAAAAATAAAAAAGATTAAAGGTCAGTCTTTTTAAAAAATTGTATTTTAATATAGAAATGTTCCTAAAATTAATTTAGCAAATTTATTACTTTATCACCTCCCTAGAATCTGCAACAGCACTTTATATTAGTAATTTAACAAGTAGATCCTTCTTTCGAGTAGTTCACACAAATCACAGCTTGGCTGAGAGCATGAAGTGTACGATACAGCAGCTGACTGTCAGCCCTGAGACTGTGACTGGGGAGCATACGGGGACCCCTTGCCTGGGGGGGGGGGGGGGGGGGGGTCCATACTTGATCTCTTCCTGGAGAGCCGTCTTGAAGAGCCGCAGCAGCAGGTACTCCTCCCGCTGGTTGGAGGCGTAGTTGTAGAGGGTAAAGATCACCGAGTCCATGAACTTGGTGGACTTGTTCTGGGGCATCTGAAAAATCAGCTTGGCCAGATAGGTGGGGTTGGTCTGCAATGAAGCCAAGGGATTTAAGTCACTTCCAGATCATGTAAAGGCTGGCAAAAACATCCAAGGTTTTATAAACTCGAAGGATCAGAAGGTATATAAGGAAAGAAATAAAGAAAATGTAAAGAAAAAAAGAAAGATAAGACAGCTCTTTGCTCACCCCTCAGTGGAAATCAGAATTAGTTTCACAGAGATCTATGGGTAAGGTTATCTTATGAAAAGAAAATTAGCTACATTTTCCAGTGCCACTTCCAGGAGCCACTCACCTGCAATAAATAAAACAGGTGCTGATAAGCTTCCAATTTCTCTCTCTTCTCCTTGCTCAAAGCCTTGAGACCTCCCTTCTGTTTATTTAGCATCATCATATCAGACAACTGTTCCTTATTTTTTTTGGTAAGTTTTTTACTGTGGGAAACCACATCCTGTAAACACAAACCAACACATAAATCAAAAGGCTTTCAGAGACAAAGCAGGGCATTGTGGGTCTTTCGCGGCACTGGCGGATCCCTTCCAAGTCAGATGGAGTATCCTGTTTTCAATACATCAGTCAAATACAGTCCTACTCTCATCTTCCTATAAAGAACCTGATCCATAAAAACGTCCACTGACTCAGGAAGCCAACTCCTAGGAATCTACCTGGAAGACAAAGCCTTAAATACGATAAAAGCTACATATACATCAAGACGTTCCCTGCAATGTTATCTGTAATAATAAAAACTTGTCAAATAGTTGGGGGGGGGGGGGAAAGAGATAAATTATAGTGTATTTTCTAATTAGTTATAACACTGCCATTAAAAATAATATTTATGACTGCTTGGCCGGCATGGCTCAGTGATTGAGCGTCGACCTATCAACCAGGAGTTCAGTTTGATTCCAGGTCAGGGCACAAGCCTGGGCTGTAGGCTTGATCCCCAGTGTGGGGCGTGCAGGAGGAGCCAATCCATGATTCTCTCTCATCATTGATGTTTCTCTCTCTCTCTCCCCCTCTCCCTTCCTCTTTAAAATCAATAAAAACATATTTAAAAAAAATAATTTATGACTTTATCACATGGAAAACATTTTATCTTCTAATATGAAGTAAAAATGTCCGATAGGAAATGATTGTGGGGTGGTGGGATTACGGGATGGTTTGTATCTTCTTTTCTCTATTTTAAATGTTGCTATTAAATTACAGCATTTCATTCCCTCTGTAACTTTTTAAAAGTTTATGGCCTTCAAGGACAAGGAAGCCATGAGTCAGCGAGGGTGAGGCAGGGAAGCCAAAGCAGGACCCGCCCCGTGGCCCCGCCAGCTCCGCACACACCTGCAGCGTGATCTTGTTTTTCACCAGCAGTCCGATTTTGATATCCATGAGGTTGAGGTCGTTCTCCAGCTGCTGGTTGGAGCGGATGAGGGTGATGACCTCCTCCCGCATCTTCATGAGATCCAGCTCCTCCTGGAAATCCTGGTCACTCTGGTCGAGCAGGTGGACAAACTTCCGCACCACGACCATCGGCGGGTCCTCGGCATTGACTGGCGGAAAGACAGCGCGTGTCAGACGGGAACGAAGTTACCAGGACGGGTTCTCAGTCCCGAGGAATGTCAGGGTGATGCATGAGCTCTAGTCACGAGTGTTTGTTTAACTGTGAAATGAGCAAGGACAACCACGAGGCGCAGTGTTCTCGGTCACGCTATGGCTATGATGTGACAGAGGCTGACACGGTGAAGAACAGGACATGCAGCCACAGGTTAGCCAAGGGGGTTAACTCGCCAGCAGCCCCCGACCCCCAGGCTTGCCTGCAGGAAAGGAAAGAGATCCGTGGAGAATGCCCAGAACCTGAGGGCCTCCACGCCGCCTCCGCTGAGCCACAGTTACTCACTGAGAGTCTTGTAGTCGTCGCGAGCTTTGTTTGCCCGAATAAAAGCCTGGATTTTGACAATGTCATTTATCTAAGGAACAGAGAAGAAATGCTTTTGGTCATCTGTCCACCAGAAATAGCGCAGAACGGATCCCACCGGCCCTGCTTCCCAAGGGGACTTACGTGATCTCGGAAGTACTGCAGGCGATCTCTATAGCGCTTTCTCGCCTGATGCATCCTCGCCAGGGACTGGATCTGTGGACAAAGGGCCCTGGAAGTTACAAAAGTCCTTCACCTCAACCCAGGTCATACTGGACCCCACACGGAGTGACCCGCCCCGGCTACCGTACCTTCACGACTTCATCTTTATGGGAGCGCAGGTACGCTAGACGGTCCTGATAGGCCTTCTTCTGCTTGTATCCTCTCCACTGCGACTGAAACCATCAAATATTACAGTCGACACATTGTTTCCCAGGGGAGAGAGGCAATTCCAACACCTCTCCTCGACATCCTGTCCAAGTGCAATTCCTGAGGAAGCTTACAGAGGACCACGTCTGCAGTGACTGGGGAGTCTGGGCAGAGGCTGTGCCGCCACCAGGAGAGCACAGTGGCCAGTGTCCACTGCCCTGGTGTGAGCTCAGCACGTCACACCTTTTTTTTTTTTTAAATTAGGTACAGAAAGTATTTAATATATTTTATTGATTTTTTACAGAGAGGAAGGGAGAGGGATAGAGAGTTAGAAACACCGATGAGAGAGAAACATCGATCAGCTGCCTCCTGCACACCCCCTACTGGGGATGTGCCCGCAACCAAGGTACATGCCCTTGACTGGAATCGAACCTGGGACCCTTGAGTGCACAGGCCAATGCTCCATCCACTGAGCCAAACCGGTGGGCACGTCACACCTTTTAAAAGTGCCTCCAGCCCGGCCAGCGTGGCTCAGAGGTTGAGTGTCCACCTATGAACCAGGAGGTCACAGTCCGATTCCCGATCAGGGCACATGCCCGGGTTGTGGACTCGATTCCCAGTGTGGGGCGTGGAGGGGGCAGCTGATCAATGATTCTCTCTCATCATTGATGTTTCTCTCTCTCTCTCCCTCCCTCCCTCTCCCTTCCTGTCTGAAATCAATAAAAAAATATACATATATATATTTTTTTTTAGAAAGTGCCTTGCCCTAGCCAGTTTGGCTCAGTGGATAAATCATTGGACTGCAGACTGAAGGGTCCTGGGTTCAATTCTGGTCAAGGGCACGTATCTCGGTTGCAGACACCTCCCCCGCCGCAGGCCCTGGTCGGGGCTCGTGCAGGAGGCAACCAATCGATGTGCTTCTCTCACATCGATGTTTCTCTCTGTCTTTCCCTCTCCCTTCCACTTTCTCTAAAAAATCAATGGAAAAATATCTTCAGGTGAGGATTAAAAATAAAAAAATAAATAAATAAATAAAAATAAATGCCTCCACACAGTCTTTTATTGGAGCCTTACAATAAATCAGCGAGGAAGGGAAGGTAAACATTAGTATCCCCACTCACAGAGGATGAAGCAAACTTAGAGAGGCTCACACCACTGGGCAGTGGGGAGCCCTGAGGCCCAGCTCCAACCGAATTCTCTCTGTGACATGTGCTGCCCGTCAGAAAACTGCCCTGGGCTGGCAGCTCCCCTCGAAGCACCGCGTCGGGCACACTGATGACAGTGGCAGCAAAGAGGAAACGCTTATCCGAAGAAGGATGAGACCGAGAGGCCAGGAGGAAAACACACCCACACTCGCCCCTAAGAATGGCGGTTGCTGAGCCCTGCTCTCGGCGCCCACCCGCGGCCTGTGCACGGGGCTCTGAAATACCTGGATGCAGGTGATGGCGGGAATCTGTTTCTTCAGGAAATTCAACCTGGAGCGGAACTCCTGTCGGACGAGGTACCCGCGGCAGCACGCCTGCAGCCTGGTGATCAAGCCCTCGTTGGCCAGCCAGAGCTGCTCTCGGTTGTACGCCGTCGTCACCCCGGAGATGGAACTCTGAAAGGCACGTGGTCACAGGGGAGACACACGCAGGTGAGAAGGGACACACATTTTAACACATCCGCAGCGCACAAGCCAACCCTTACTGCTTTCTCCGACTGTTCTAGATCTTTGAGCAACGAGAATGGCTTCAGGTCTATTTTTCAGGGCAGGTGGTTCTCACACCCCAACAAGCCACGGACAAAAGCAACTTGATCTTCTTTCCTCTCCTATGTACCCTCTCATCTGCCCAACACTGACTGTGCCAGGCACGGTGCGTGGGTCATTATCGACAAGAAGACAGAGGAACAGGGGCTGACAGGGGCTGAGTGCCCAGTCCCAGAAGCCCCCTGGACCGCCGCGGTGGAGGACACGCAGGGAACTGGCCAGCCTGCCTGTGACGACAGGTTAAGGTCGAACACAGCACAGTCCGGAGTGGGTGGGACAGTCCGAAAAGAGGGTGAAAATGTAAACTGGGGGAGGTGAACAGTAGTTGCGTTTAATGACGAGTTAGAGAAGCTTTTCATTTTTCTCTTCTGGGCATCCACATTTTCTTTAATAAGCACACAATTTGTCTGACTTAAATTCTACAAGACTGATGTTTTCCTAATTTAGGCCTTAAGTCACTCCCCCAACCACTAGACAAATAATTACTCTAAGCCTGGTCATTATGTAGCCTCAATTTTAGGCTAAGGCTTCTGACCACAGGCCTGTTCCTCCAAACACACGTTCAGCTCCAACACGCTTGCGCTCAGCTCCTTCCCCGAGGAAAGGCGACCTACCTGGATCTCCTCCCGCGAGAGCTGCGTGGAGTTCTGCACAAAGCCTGGGGGCTCATCCCATCCTCCTTCCTGCGTGTCCAGGTTGTGGTAATAATAATATCCGCCTTTCACCCAGTGCTTCACCCACTTGCTGTTGTTGTCGCCTGGTGGACAGTAAAGGAAAGATTAAAAGGGACCCAGAGCCACGCTCCCCACACGCATGTGTCCGATGCGACAGGATGACTCAGACCAGGTTCACCCATCTCCCTGAAGGCCATTCCAAAATCCCACTCCTTGAATTAATGAGAGCAAAGGAGCATCCTACGTCCCTCTTACATTATATTATGGCTTTGCGATGCCTTTTAGCTCACTCACATCTACATTATAAAAAGAAAACACCGCCCTAGCTGGTTTTGCTCAGTGGATGGAGCATCAGCCTGAGGACTGAGGGGTCCTGGTTCGATTCCGGGCAGGAGGCAGCCAATCAATGATTCTCTCTCATCACTGATGTTTCTCTCTCTCCCTCCCTCTCTGAAATCAATCAAAATATATAAATTTATTTTTAAAAAGGCCATAAAAAGGGATGAGAATCAAATCTTTATTCCCCTTCCTTTGCAGATAAACTCCTTCTATCTATCTCTAGGCTTAGATACTGTAGCAGTTACTGACACCCTAAAAAAGATGAACAGTCAAATATTTTTATCCTTTCGGCATTTTCAGAAAATAGACCTTTTTAAACATAGTTGCCCAAAAGGGGAAATTTTCCCCCCAAAAAAATAGGGATATTATTGCCTCCTCAGGGTATTTAAAATAAGTCCAGATACTGTACTTCTACACAAAAGTTATCTTTCTCTACAGACTGCCCTTCCCTCTACCTCGCTCCCCTCATATACTCAAGCTCTCAGCTTCAGGGCACACATTTATTTCACCGTAACCCACCTGCTGCCAACTTTTTCTTCCTGGCTTCTGCGAGGTCACTCTGGTACGTTTCACAACACTCAGGGATGACTCCGTACAGGCTGACATCCGGGGAACGAAGGGCACTCAGCGTTTTACCAACATCGCCACTCTGCACGGCCTCGTTAATGGCAAAGATTCCTACGGCAACTATCGCGGAAGAGAACTGTTACCGGAATAGTTTAGGAGGCACCTCCGTTCATACACTGGTTCACCGGGCTATGCCTCCTGGCAAGCTGTTCCCCCCACATGTGATCTGCCTAACATGACACGGAGCACCTCGCCCCCCCACCCTCCCCCGAGAGAAATAAACCAGCGATACGTACACCTCTGTGCTTCCTGGGTGTCTTTGTTGGACTGCCAGATTCCACCTTGAATTTCATCCAACCATAACACGGCGGACTCATCCTGGGTTTCCTGCGCACCGTGAAAAGCAATATAATATTAAGAGCCATGAAATCAGGGCCCATGGGATAAAGGGGCTTCTGAGACTCGATTAGATATGGAGGAAGTTTCAAACACGTGAGAGACATGGAATAGTCAACTGGAAGAAGCAGGAATAAAAAAACCAGTGAAGCCCGACCGGTGTGACTCAGTGTTTGAGCATCGACCCAGGAACCAAGAGGTCCCCAGTTCGATTCTCGGTCAGGGCACATGCCTGGGTTGCGGGCTCCATCCCTGGTGCAGGGCGTGAGGAGGCAGCTGATCAATGATTCTCTCTCATCATTGATGTTCCTCTCTCTCTCCCTCTCCCTTCCTCTCTAAAAAAATCAATACAAAGATATTTTTTAAAAACTGGTGAAAGATTACAAGAGAAATGCTACAGATAAAGTGATAAAGATGTGAAGATGAATTCGAGTGGCTCAGGAGATCAAAAGCAGCGAGAAGGGGCAAAAGAGCAAACTGGGAAGGAACCCAGGGAACTTAACGAAATTTCTGTCTAATCATTTCTGTCTGACCACTAGCTAACCAAGCAGAGACTTCAGTGGACACACATGATAAAGAGCACAGACTTAACAGAAGCAAAAGTCGCTAAACAAATAAGGACAACAACAAGCCCTGAGGAGGGAGAGTGCAATCTGATTTTCAGAGCTGCCCTGTTATTTTATTAAAATGTCCTATTTTCAAAAACTACAAGACAGTCCGGCTGGCGTGGCTCAGAGGTTGAGCGTCGACCTATGAACCAGGAAGTCACAGTTCGATTCCCAGTCAGGGCACATGCCCGGGTTGCAGGCTCGATCCCCAGTGTGGGGCGTGCAGGTGGCAGCCGATCCACGATTCTCTCTCATCATTGATGTTTCTCTCTCTCTCTCCCCCACCCTCTGAAATCAATAAAAATATATTTAAAAAAACAAAAGACCTTCTGACTTAAAAAAAACACACTACAAGACATGCATAGAAACAGGAAAGCCTGGCCCAAAAAGGGGGGAAAGCTGACAACCAAAAATGTCTAAATTGATCCTGGTAGACAGAGACTTATATCAGCTATTTTAAATATGTTCAAAGAACTATAGAATATAAGAACAAGTCTCACCAAAGAGAGAATGATCAACAAAGAAATCAAAATTACTTTTTTTTAAAAAAAGAAGAATCAAATGAAATTTGGGAGCTGTAAAATACAATAACTGAAATTAAAAAAAAATTCCTAGAGGGACTCAGCAAACTGGAAGATTAGTCCACTGAAATGACCCAGTCTGAGGAACAGTAAGAAAAAAGAATCAAGAAAAATGAACAAAGCCTCAGAGAACCGAGGACACCATCGATAATATCCATAAATGCATAATGGGATCCCCAAGACAAGAAGAAAAAGAGGCAGAAAGAATACTTGGAGGAAGTCTGAATCGACCTATAACAAATACAGAGATGGAATAACAATCAAAACATATCCTGCAAAAACAAAGCCGAAAACACAGGACCACACGGCTTCACTGGTGAATTCTACCAAATGTTTAAAGAAGCTAACACCAATTCTTTACAAACTCTTCTAAAGCAAAGAAGAAGGAGGCAAACTTCCCAATTCATTCTATGAGGTCAGTATTACCCTGATACCAAAGCTAGACCCAAAGATACCACAAGGGAACTACAGGTCAAAGTTAAATTAAGACCTTTTGCTTGATAAATTTGGAAATCAGATTATTTTTAAAACCACTTTCAAGAAGGCCCAGACATAGTTATAAGCTAAGCTGAGGCCTAAAAAAGGCTATTCCATCTAATGTGTAGTCCACCCAGCCGGACCTGGCAGTGTTAAGCAAATTCCCTCTAACACCACCCCCGTCCTCTGTAAAGTTATTCCACAGCAAACGGAAATGCTTCAAACTCTAGTCACATCCTCTAACAGTTTAACTCCCACAACCCTACCAAAAGGCTCAGAGCATGAGTGAGAGCAGGTACAAGACAGAGCCTCAAACTAGTTTCCTTTTTTAGACATGAAACCTGGCCTAGTTTATTTTCCCAAAGTCCACTTCTCTGTCAATCAAACATAAGATTCCTTGTGGACTTATATGGCAGCAAAAATAAACATCACCACTGGGGTCTATACAGAATCACTACAGCCAGGCCCCCAGTTAGAGATTCTGAATAAGCAGAAACAAGAGTATAAATCTTAGGAATCTGCATTTTTAAAATAACTTTTAAAGTGTTCTGATGATCAGCCAAGTTTGGGAAGAACTGCCCAGCCGGCATGGCTCAGTGGTTGAGCAGTGACCTAGGAACCAGGAGGCCACGGGTCAATTCCTGATCAGGGCACATGCCCGGGTTGCGGGCTTGATCCCCAGTGTGGGGCGTGCAAGAGGCAGTCGATCCATGATTCTCTCTCATCACTGATGTTTATCTCTTTCTCTTCCACGCCCTTCCTCTCTGAAATCAATAATATATATATATATATTTTAAAAATATATTTTATTGATTTAAAAAAATACATTTTATTGATTTTTTACAGAGAGGAAGGGAGAAGGATAGAGAGTTAGAAACATCGATGAGAGAGAAACATCGATCAGTTGCCTCCTCCATACCCCCGACTGGGGATATGCCTGCAAGCAAGGTACATGCCCTTGACCGGAATTGAACCCGGGACCCTTCAGTCTGCAGGCCGACGCTCTATCCACTGAATCAAACCGGTTAGGGCTATAAAAATATATTTTAAAAAAATGTTTGGGAAGAACTGATCCAACTGATCCCACGTTGATTATTAGAGACAGAGACCTCCATTGGTAACTTCCCCACAGCCAACTGCTTCTCACCTGAGGGAGTAACATCATTGATCCCTTTGTCTCAATTTCCTGGCTACAAAACGGGAGTTATGATTCAACCCTCACCCCAGGATCAACTGACACTCAGCACATTAATGTGCCTCTTATATGAAGCACAGTACTGGCTGCATTTACATGATCAGGACATGGTGATGTTAACTACTGTACTCTGATGACAAGGGAATCAAAGGAGATTTATCAACATCATAATATCACCCACAACTCCTCCGCCCCTAACCCATGGGGGTTGGTGTACAAAAGCTGCAATCACACAGATGCCTTGGTCTGTTTTTCTATCTTTGGATTCCCAGAAAGAATCTAACCGCCTGAATTAAGAATTTCCTTCAGCTCTTCGCTTGCTATGAGAACCTCACTGGAGGGATCTTCTAAGTTTAAAAAAAAAAGTTGTGGTCCTCCCTACATAATTGCTGTTAGTTAGGAAGAACTTAAAAAGAGACTAATGACAATTAGAGAAACAGAGGTAACGATGCTTTCATCACGCAACTGATATCTGAGGGCCGACTACACACAAACTAACTCCCGGCTCAGCAACAGCATAAACAGAGGTATAAATCTTGTCCACTTCTTCAACAAACTAGCTGAGAGGCAAGACAAACTTTTTAAAAGATGGGTTCGTGTAACAATTACTTTGGGAAACTTTTATGTTCAGAGCAGCATTATTCCAATAGCCATAAAGTGGAAACAAGCCATATTTCCACCAACTCATTAATGGAACAATATTCCAAACAATGGAGTATTATCCAACAATAAAAAGAGATAAAGTAACCCTAGCCAGTTTGGCTCTGTGGATAGAGCATCGGCTTGCAGACTGAAGGGTCCCGGGTTTGATTCCAGTCAAGGGCACATGCCTGGGTTGTGGGCGCCAATAGGGGGCATGCAGGAGGCAGCCGATCAATGATTCTCTTTCATCATTTTTTTTTTCCTCTCTCATCATTGATGTTTCTATCTCTTTCTCCCTCTCCCTTCTTCCCTGAAATCAATAAAAATATTTTTTTTAAAAGAGAGATGAAGTACTAACACATGCTACAACTTGGATAAACCAAGCTAAGTGAAAGAAGCCAGTCACAAAGAACCACATACTGCATTATTCCATTTATACTGATCGTCCAGAACAGGCAAAGAAAGTAGACTGGTGGCTGCCTGGGGCTGGAAAGATTGAGGGGAAATGAGGAGTGGCGACCATGAGTGCTGGGTTTCTTTTGGGCATGATGAAAATGCTCTAAAATTGGTTATGGTGATGTTTGCACAATTCTGTGAATAGACTAAAACCACTGAATTATACACTTTAAAGTGATGAGCTATATGGTAAATGAATTATATCTCAATAAACCTGCTTAAAAAAAACACAATCCGCCCTAACCTGTTTGGCTCAGTGGATTGAGCGTCAGCCTGCGGACTCAAGGGTCCTGGGGTTCGATTCCGGCCAAGGGCATGTACTTTGGTTGCAGGCACATCTCCAGTGGGGAGTGTGCAGGAGGCAGCTGATCGATGTTTCTCTCTCATCGATGTTTCTAATTCTCTATCCCTTTCCCTTCCTCTCTGTAAAAAATCAATAAAATATATTAAAAAACAAAAAACAAAACACAATCCTCTGTGGCATGATGTACTAAAACTTACATGTATCATCCTCCATAGTAAGTGTCCAGTCGTCGGTTCAACCAATCAAAGTGTAATATGCTAATGATATGCTAAGGCCGCTCAACCGCTACTATAATGTGCACTGACCACCAGGGGGCAGATGCTCTAACCAGTAAGTTAGCTTGCTGCTGGGGTCCGGCTGACTGGGACTGAGCAAGACGGGCTGGACATGCCCTGGAGCCCTCCCGAGGTCCTTCCCTGGCTGGCCAACCTCCCGTGTCCCTCCCCTGTCCCGATCGTGCACCAGTGGGGTCCCTCGGCCTGGCCTGCGCCCTCTCGCAATCCAGGACCCTTCGGGGGATGTCAAAGAGCCTGTTTCGGTCCGATCCTGCTCAACGCAGGAGCTGCTCCTGGTGGCCAGTGCACTCCCACAGCAGGAGCGCCGCTCAGTCAGAAGCCGGGCTCATGGCTGACTACTGGTCATTCCGCTGTTTGGTCGACTTGCATATTAGGCTTTTATTATATAGGATTAATTTTAGGAACGGAGAGGGAGAGAGAGATAAAAACATCAATGATGAGAGAGAATCATTGATCAACTGCCTCCTGCATGGCCCCTACTGGGGATTGAGCCTGCAATCTGGGCATGTGCCCTTGGCTGGAATCAAACCCGGGACCCTTCAGTCCGCAGGCCAGCACTCTATCCACTAAGCCAAACCAGCTAAGGCTGAGTTATGCATTTTGGGGTCTCATATTTCAATGCAGAATTTACTCAGAGACAGGGAGATGTGTTGACAAACAGCAACAACAACAAAAAAGCCAAATGTGTAAAATAGCAAAGCTTCCAAGAGGCTGAGTCTATGTCCCTCACCCCTGTGTCCCTACAGAGCTCTGCGCATGAGGTGCCCGGGAGCAGTCCCTGAGGGATCAGGGGAGGCGTCACTCCTGTATCTTGGTGCTTGGAGGGAGGAAGTTCCCGGAACAGAAGCGAGCCTTCTGATGCCACTCACCTGGGCTTTCTCTCTCTTTGCTCGGATCAGCGTGTCTTGGTAATGCTGGGCCACTCCTGCCAGGACGCCCTCCAGTTTGGCTGCAGGAATCTGCAGGGCCTGCAGGGTCTTTTGGGCATCACCTTCGTCCAGGGCTTCGTTAATTAAGCCGATGGCTAAAATCCCTGAAGAGGAAGAAGCAAAGGTCATTTCTTGAAAAAATTCCATAAACAAATCAGTCTGTAAACATGCTACGTACGCATGAATCCACCCAAGCATTGCCATGATTCAAACCATAATTTGTCATCCATAATACTGAGCAGCATGGTCTCTTTAAATTTAGTGTTTGTTTCATTCAAAATAAATGGCCTTATACCCATATTCCTATTGAAAGCTCAAGTCCTCTTGTTTTATGTGTAATTGCTCTCACTTAAAAGAGTGAAGATTTTGCCCAGCGGCATGGTTCAGTGGTTGAGTGTCAACCTATGAACCAGGGGGTCACGTTTCGATTCCCAGTCAGGACACATGCCTAGTTTGCGGGGTCCATCCGCAGTGTGGGACATGCAGGAGGCAGCCAATCAATGATTCTCGCTCATCATTGATATTTCTCCCTCTCCCTTCCTCTCTAAAATCAATAAAAATATATATATTTTTTAAAGTGTGAAGATTTTGATGAAACTGGCTTTGTAGTATAGTTTTCAGATACATTTCAAAGTGTAGCATTACCCATTCTTGACTTACAAAAAGTCAGAGTTCAAGGGATCTTAACCAGTCACCTAATTCAATATTATTGTAGGAAAAAGATGAGGCTTAGGGATCTCTTCCAAGATCACACAGCACACAAGTGGCAGACGGAGGACCCAAGCCCGGGCGCCCTGCTCCACGGCAAGGCTCTTTCCACTACATCAGTGGAATGTTTCTCACAAGGAACACAAAGCAAACTGCAAACGTTCACTCCCATGGCATCTCAATCAGCTGTGCTACTTCAGTAAGGACTCTATTGTGTAATTAAAACTTTGGCTGGTCTTTCTCCCTCGTTCCTGGAAAAGGGCCTCTAGACCAGTGGTTCCCAACCTTGTTTTGGCCACGTCCCACCTAAGCATCTCTAAAATCCTGACGCCCCACCCCCGTGACATAGAATTCTGATTATTCAAAAAGTGAGCGCCTATTCACGTGGAGGAAGCCTCAAAGGCCATAAACTTGGTCTAAACAAGCTTCCAAAGAACATGGCATCCATGAAAGAGAAAAATGAAAGAATGAAAGGACAGTTAAAGTGGTTTAAAAAAAAAATATGATGTGATATAAAAAATAGCAAATAAAGTTCCAAAACATATGAGAACTGAAATGCATAACTATGTCACAATATATGAGGCCCCTAGATCCTTACGAAATGCAAAAAATTCATTGTTAATAACTCATTCTCGAATTGCGCCCCTTAAAAATCAAATTGCCCCCTATTGGGCGTGTGCCCCACGTTGGGAACCACTGCTCTAAACCCTTAGAATTTCCCAAGTGACAAAAATAACTCTGTCATTCATGGCGGGCCCTGGAACCACCCCTGAGTGTACGCTAGCCAGGTGACTTCTGGTGGGCCCCTAGGTAGTTTCAGGGTGGGTGCTGGAAATGCTGGAAAGGCCAACCTTGTGATTAGAAGACTGGGGCTTTGAGCCATGTGATATGTTAGCCCAGCCTCCCTATCTCCAGGGAGGGAGGTGGTCTGGAAATTAAGTTCAATTACATGGCCAATGATGTAAGCATCATTTGTCTGTAAGGAAGCCCCGATAAAAATGCTGGCTCCCCGAAGCTCAGGTGAGCTTACCCGGCTGTGGCACACATCGATGAGCTGGCAGCGGGCACAGCCTGAGGACGCCCTACCTGACATCGCCCCACAGATCTCTTCCTTTGGTTGGTCCCTATTTGTATCCTTTCTAATAAAACTAGAATCATAAATAGAGCACTTCCCTGAGTTCTGTGAGTCAATCTAGATATTACTGAACCTGAGTGGGTGGAGGAAACACCTGAATTTATAGCAAGTGGTTCAGAAATGCTGTGACCTGAGAAGTCCAGGACTCCTAGCTGATGCCTGAAGTGGCAGGACCGTGCCCTCAACCCATCAACACAACCCAACTCCAGGAAGCTAGTGTCAGTACTATTTGTTATAATAGCACTTAAAAATAAAAAATCCTGCCCTAACCGGTTTGGCTCAGTGGATAGAGCGTTGGCCTGCAGACTCAAGGGTCCCAGGTTTGATTCCGGTCAAGGGCATGTGCCTTGGTTGTGGGCACATACCCAGTGGGGAGTGTGCAGGAGGCAGCTGATTGATGTTTCTCTCTCATCGATGTTTCTAACTCTCTATCCCTCTCCCTTCCTCTCTGTAAAAAAATCAATAAAATATATTTTTAAAGAAAATTAAAAAAAAAAATAAAAATCCTGTTCATCTTCTGAAAAAAAATATATATACATAATTTTTTATTTTTTTTATTTCAGAGAGGAAGGGAGAGGGAGAAATAGAAACATCAATGATAAGAGAATCATTGATCGGCTGCCTCCTGCATGCCCCCTACTGGGGATCAAGCTCACAACCCTGGCATGTGCCCTTGACAGAAATCAAACCCCGGACCCTTCAGTCCGCAGGCTGATGCTCCATCCACTGAGCCAAACCAGCTAAGACCATCTCCTGAAATTTTTAGTTATGACCTACATACCTAATTATAGCAGTTGCCTGGTGTTTTGAAAATAATAGCCAACCTTAGCTTTTGAGTTATACATATATTTCAATTTTCAAAATTCCCCCCAGGAGTCATGGTTAGAACTGGCTCATGGCATCACGCCGCCTTGCCCCGTGACACTTGGGGGGATGGGAACGGACTACTCACTCTCATGCTCCTCCTGCACCACCAGATTCACGTGGTCCACGCAAGCCTGGATGTCGTTCCACGTAATAAACTCGTTCTTCTCTGCATGTGCCTGGTCTTTCAGCTTCATCAGCTCATCGAGATACCTGCCCCATCCCCCAATAACAAAGACAATGAAGTGCAACAGAATCAAAGGGACCTTCAGGATCACTGTGGGTGACAGGAATGAGAAGACGTAGGGGGGGCGGGCAATGAGGGCGAGGGAGGGAACAGTGGGCAAAGTATCCGAGAGCACAGACAGTTAAGGTATATCCCTCAGTTTGATATACTCTAGAGGCCAGCTCTGGGACTGAGTTACCTTAAAGAGAATGTGAACATGGAAGGGTATCACCTATTCTTAACAGCCTCTCAATTCCAAGTAAGACCAACTCTAGAATCAGAGAGGCAGCAGCTCCAAGATAAGGAAATAAGGCCACCCACCAGCTAGGAAATGTAGGGGGAATGATGTATCAACAAGTTATCATTTGGCAGCTCTTACTGAAGTACCGATTTAGGCAAGGATTTTCAATTGGGGTCAAACGTACTAAGCCGATCGTTAATGGGGAACTGTGCATGTTGCTGGTGCAAAAGGTGCAAAGAGATTATGACCTAGTGAGAGATAAACATAGACATCCGTTGGAGGGATAAGCGGTCCCCTAAAGACCAATCTTAGTATTGTTAATGGCAGGACAGTAGATTTCACAGGAGTCTTGATATGAGAAAATGTGAAACACACATTATCAGAAATGTTCAACTAAATCTCGACATGCCTTTAGACATAATTTCCAACTTACAGGAATAAGACAAGTCTTCGAAGCAACCAGAACCGGAAGATGGGGCCTTTTATAGGACAACTGGCCCCATCTCTCTGACAAATCAGTGTCGTGAAGAAAGGGAAAATTCTGGACTCAAAGCCACCCAAGGGACACAACAGACAGAGGTAACACATGGTCCCAGACCAGGTCTCGGTTTGAACAAACCAGCGGAAGAGTCTTGGGACAAATGAGGAAGTATGAAGGTGGACTCCATTCAGAGGATGTTGCAGAATATTATGGCTTTTGTCAGGGTATATGATAAAGTATAAAATGAATAGAAATAGAAAAAAATAAAGATGGTCACAGTGACCGTGAAGAAAACCAGAGCTGACGGCCGACCCACACGGAGGTTCCAGCCGTCGGAGGATCCAGTCCGCCCGGCACCCACCTCTGACAGTTCTCCTCCTCGATGTTGGTCAGGCCCGTCACGGAACTGCTCAGCTGCTTCCACACCGTGTTCATGTCTCCCGACTCCAGGGCCCTGTTGATGAGGGCCACGGACGACAGCATCTCCACGGCCACAGAGAGCTCGGGGTGGGTGAGGCTATGCTGCACAGAGCGAGAGGGGCACCGAGTAAGAGACGCGCAGGGGTACCATGGGGTCGAAGTTTCTGGTTAAAAACTCGGTGTCCCTAACGATGTGGGTGTTCAATTCCCTCCCACTGCTTTCTGCTTTGTTTTGTGTGTTGTTGTTTTTTTATTGTTTTAGAGAGGAAGGGAGAAGGAGAGAGAGAGAGAAAAATCAATGATGAGAATCATAGATCGGCTGCCTCCTGCACGCCCCACACTGGGGATCGAGCCTGCAACCTGGACATGTGCCCTGACTGGGAATTGAACTGTGATCTCCTGGCTCATAGGTCGATGCTCAACCACTGAGCAACACCGGCCGGGCCCTCCCGTTGCGTTTTGCTCACAAGCAGGGCAGGCCCAGCTCACTTACTTCAGGGCTCTGCTGCTGCAGCGTAGCCAGCTCCTTCTGGTAAAGATCAGCAGCAAATGGATACACCTGGGGCAGCTGGGCTTCGGGGTTCATCAGTTCCAGAACCGTCTTCTCAGCCACGCCCTTCTGGATGGCAGCGTTGATGGCCGCCACGGCTGCCAGCCCTGGCGGAGAACGGGGTCAGAAACACAGCTGCTGAGGGAGCCCAAGGGGAAGGAGAGGCCGGCTGTCACAGAGCGAAGGTGCCCTCTGCGGATGACCTGCCACCCGAAGGGGAACTCCTGTCTTTAGAAAGCGGTCTCCTTTGGATGGGGGTGAACTGTAGGTATGCAGACTATACCGCAGCAAAGCCTTTTATTAAAAGCAGCCTCCTCACCTAGACCTTCTTTCTGCTCCAAATCACCCGCAGCCAGCACTACCTTCGCCCTAAAACCTCCCCCTTTGCTGCAGCTGCCAGCAAGGCACCAGCTTCTTCAGCTGCCACTCAGCGCTCTCCACCGTCTCTCTGAGCCTGACCTTACCCCACCCAGCGCCAAACACCTCCAGAAACCTGATCCCAAGCGCTGTCCTTCCAGACACCTCTCACCTTCGATCCCTCTGCTCACACTTCCTCCCCCCTGTTGCCCCGTATTAGCACATTGCGGACCAGTAGTTCCATTGCTAGCTTTACCCAGTGGCCAGATAAGTTTCTATTGAACGAGTACAAAAAGCGTTTTACATAAATGTTAAAGGCACGCTTTAAAATCAAATACCCATTGCATTTTGAAGTTATTTATTACCTGTTCTTATAAGCTACTATCTTTTTAAAGTAGGATGCTCTGTAAAACACTGTGAATATGAAGCGAGAATTCTCGTGATCCGTCCGCAATGTGTTATGAGCATCCTTCTCTTTCATCCTCTAGATCTCACCAGTCAACCCGGACTCTCGCCTGCTACAGGCGTTTCCCTGACCAGCCGTGGTGCTTACTCGATGAGCCACCATGACGGGAGGAACCCCACTGTCAGAGGCGCCTGGTGGTGGATTACGGTGTGGAGGATGGGGTGGCACAAAGGGTGACCTCAGACCCCCAATGACATGAAGCCACTTCCCTCCCCTCCTCGGGAGCCCGGGAGCCCAGCCGGGGGGCTTACTTCTCTGGTACTGCTGGGCGGCACTGTTGGCAGCATCCACCGCAGCCTGGAGCTCCTCCTTCTGCAGGGCATCAGCCTGGCCACTCTGAGGAGAGCAAAGGACACTCATGTCAACACGGCTCCCGCCTCTGCCTCCAGACCAAGTTCTCCTCCCTCTGCAGCAGTCACCGGGACAGAGCCACGGGGCCAGTGGCAGCCCGGCCACGCGGGGGGGTAGAGCGACTTTCTGGATACCAGTCCATTTAAAGAGATATTTTGTGAGAAGCATCAAAATGTCCTGAGATAAAATGGTTACAGAATCACTAGCACACGTATGCTACTCACTCTGGCCAATACGCGCTGGGAGTTTGTAAAATGTATGAGAAAGCCCCTCATATCTGTTCTGAAACCTACCCCCTGCCCCCCAAAAAAACAAAAAAAACCAGTCACACACAATCTGCTGTGCAGTGAGCAACTCCCCAGCGTTGGCCACAGGACATAGTGAGGTGCGGTTTTTTAAAGCAGAAATTCCTGAAGTGAGAGTGTAAAAAACTCAGGTTTCCCCGATGGTTTTGGTGGGGGAAGAAGGGCGAGGCTTCGGGTGAAGGGGTGGTTAGATGGGGAAGGTGGGTATCACCTATTTTCAGGGGATTTACAACTCTAAAACCAAACACAGCTGAAGACAATGTGTATTTTACCTGAGGACATTTTATTTATTGATTTATTTTAAAAGACGGCTCTTTCTTTTTAAATATATCTTTATTGATTTCAGAGAGGAAGGGAGAGGGAGAGACAGAAACATCAATGATGAAAGACAATCACTGATTGGCTGCCTCCTGCACGCCCCTTACTGGGGATCAAGCCCGCAACCTGGGCATGTGGGCATGTGCCCTTGGCTGGAATAGAACCCAGGACCCTTCAGTCCGCAGGCTGACGCTCTATCCACTGAGCCAAACCAGCTAGGGCTACCTGAGGACATTTTAAAATCTAATTTAACCCTGGCCGGTTTGGCTCAGTGGAGAGAGCGTGGGCCTATGGACTGAAGGGTCCCGGGGTTGGATTCCAGTCAAGGGCATGTGCCTTGGTTGCAGGCTCCTCCCCGAACCAGGCCCTCATCAGGGCTCGTGCAGGAGGCAACCAATGTTGTGTCTCAATCGATGTGTCTCTCTCACATTGATATTCCTCTCTGTCTTTCCCTCTCTCTTCCACTCTCTCTAAAAATCAATAGAAACACATCCTCAGTGAGGATTAAAAAACAACAAAAATAAATAAATAAAAACCTAATTTCTATGCAGGAGAAAAAGTTACACTAGAAAAAGATGGCTCAGCAGTGTCTTTAACACGACAGCACGGGTTAGGGCGGAGGTGCACACACCCTGCAGGTTGCACCCGGGTCTGCTCACCTGTCTCTTCTGCTGCCTGTCGCTCAGGAGCTGCTTCAGGTACCAGTCACTGTTCTGCTGCTGCAGCCCCCGGAGGCCCAGTGCTGGGGACTGCAGAATCCGGAACAGGGCCAGGGCGCTTCCCTGATCCAAAGCCAGGTTCACGTTTGCTAACGCAGAAAACGCTGCGGAGGGAGAAGGCAAGCGCTTGAGAAAACGCTATGTTCACATTAATAGCCCAGGACAGCTTTCCTTCCCCCAAACCAACCTCTCCACTCAGATTAGGGAGCAGAATCAGGCCCCTTTGTTCTGGGCCGTCACAGCCGCCTAAGATCTGGGGACTGGAAAGAACCTTGAAGCCATCGAGCTCCCAGGGGCTCCTGCCAGGCTGCTCATCAGAGGTAACAGATTCCTGGAGCACGCAGGCCCCGGGCCTACTTAAAAGCTTCCAGATGCAGACAGCCTGGCACCACTGTGGGGGCAAAGTCAGAGGCACCCATCGACACGAGTACAGGCCTAAGTTCCCTCTGAAACGCCAAGTGGTTGTCTGGAGCAAACTACTAAACAGGAGAAGGTCTCCCACAGAAATGGACCACGTGTTTGGACAATTTTGTTCCAAAAGTATTGTTAGGGAGAACGAAGAGGGCAGAGGAGGGTCCAGGATATGGTGACGGAAGGAGATCAGACTTCGGGTAGCGAGCACACAATGGAGTATGCAGATGCCCTATGATCAAGTTGTACACCTGAAACTTATAAAACGTTATTAACCAATTGTTACCCAAAACATTTAATTATGAAATTTGAAAACTGGCCCGGCCTGAGTGGCTCAGTGGTTGAGTGTCGACCTATGAACCAGGAGGTCATGGTTAGATTCCTGGTCAGGGCACATGCCCAGGTGGCAGGCAGGATCCCTAGTAGGGGGCGTGCAGGAGGCAGCCAATCAATGATTCTCATCATTGAAGTTTCTATCTCTCTCTCCCTCTCCCTTCCTCTCTGAAATCAATAAAAAAAAAATATTTAAAAAAAAATTGTGTGGTTTAGTCTATCTGTGCTATGGAAAATTTGAAAGGCGTGTATATTGTGAGCTGGAATAGGTACCACAGTCAGAATTAAACTGGATCTTGAATGCCGGGTACAATTCAGATTAGATAAGAGATAAGATATGAAGGCCTTAAGTAGGGAGATCACATGATTTTTTTTAAAAAAGCAATAATACTAATATTTATTGGGTACTTACTAAGTACCAGGCAGTTTACATACATTATCTCATCATCTGCATGATTCTATGCTCCAGGTGCCCGATGCCACACCGCTGCTGAGACCAAACCCCAGGTCTGTCCAACTCCAGAGCCCGACTCTTAATGAGCCATGAAATGAACAGAATAAACACAGGAGACGACTGGGTAGATGGGTCTCCATGGAGTTGTACGCTAGGGCTCTGCACTGGGTCTGGCAAGTCATAAGGAACCAATGCAGGCTCTTGGGCGGAAGAGAGACAACATGAAAATAACACTTTCAAGAAATTAATTTTCTCCAAAAAGAAAGAAATTAAATTTCTCAAAAGTGTGCAACACATATGCAAATATCAATATGAACAGTACAATCTCATTTGTGTTTAAATATGTGTTTTGAAAGGGATGTGCATACAAAATCCATAGTGGTTATTTCTAGGTGACAGGGGTCTGGTTTTTTGTTTATTGTTTACCTCTAGATAACTTGTACTAGTCTCTAAAAGAAAAACAAAGCTATCACTGTGCATTACTTTAAAAATAAAAAGAATAAAATTGCTCTTCAGGGTTTTTTACATGTATAACACAGGGTGGAAGAGTGAAACAAGCCAAAATGATCAGTCTAGACCAGTGGTTCCCACCTTTTTGCCCACGCCCCACCTAAGCATCTCTAACATCCTGAATCCCACCCCCGCCACCCCCCATGGCATATAATTCTTACTATTCAAAAAGTGAACTATTCACGTGGAAGAAGCCTCAAAGGCCATGAACTTGGTCTACACAAGCTTCCAAAGAACATGGCATCCATGAAAGAGAAAGATAAAAGAACGAAAGGACAGTGGAAGGACTGAGGAAGAAATCACTAAGAAATTGTTAAGAAAATAATAATATGAAGTGATATGAAAAAAATAGCAAATAAAGTTCCAAAACATATAACAGAGAACTGAAATGCATAACTAGGTCACAATATATATTTATAGACTCTCTATGAGGCCCCTGGAACCATAAGAAATGCCAAAAATTCACTGTTAATAACTCATTCTCAAATTGCCCCCCTTAAACATCCAATTGCCCCCTGTTGGGCGTGTGCCCCACCCTGGGAACCACTGGTCTAGAAGCTACAGCGATGAGAGCGGGTGGGGTGAGGACCCGCCTGAAGACAGCGGCAGCGAACAGAAGACACGAATGCAAAACACAGTCACAAGCAGCAGTTCCTGAACAAGCCCACTAACGCCTACAAGAAATAAACGAAGTCATCCGTCCAGAACAGATCAGCACTCGCAGTACTGCTATCCCCTCAGGTGCCTGGCTCAGGATCACACTTACTGTTGACTTTGTTTACGTTGCCTTGAATTTCCGCTTGAGTGAGCAGCTCCTCATAAACGTCCCTCTCTCTCTCAGAGTTTTCTGTCTGAAAACGAGTTAAAAGTGTGATTAGATTAGCTCAGCTCTCTAAGGAGACCACAGCAAGACACTGAACTCCTCCCCTACTGTAACAGAACCAAGAGCAAGGAAAGGAGGTGCCTTAAATCCGTAGTAAAGCCCTAGCCGGTTTGGCTCAGTGGATAGAGCGTCAGCCTGCAAACTGAAGGGTCCTGGGTTCGAATTTGACCAAGGGCACGTACTTCAGTTGTAGGCTCCTCCCCGGCCAAGGCCCTGATTGGGGCGCATACAGAAGGCAACCAATCAATGTGTTTCTCTCACATTGATGTTTTACTCTGTCTTTCCCTCTCTCTAAAAATCAATGGAACCCTAGCTGGTTTGGCTCAGTGGACAGAGCGTCAGCCTGTGGCCTGAAAGGTCCCGGGCTCAATTCCTGGTCAAGGGCACATGCCGGGTTGTGGCTCGATCCCCCAATCAATGATTCTTTCTCATCACTGATATTTCTCTCTCTTTCCCTCTCACTTCCTCTCTGAAATCAATAAAAATACATTAAAAAATAATAAATAAATAAATCTATAATAATAAAAGCATAATATGCTAATTAGACCATACAGCCGAACGACCTTCCGGACATCCATCCAGACGACCTTCTAGATCAGGGGTCCTCAAACTTTTTAAACAGGGGGCCAGTTCACTGTCCCTCAGACCGTTGGAGGGCCGGACTATAGTTTAAAAAAAACTATGAACAAATTCCTATGCACACTGCACATATCTTATTTTGAAATAAAAAAACAAAATGGAAACAAATACAATATTTGTATTTGCATGGGGCCTGCGGGCCGTAGTTTGAGGACCCCTGTTCTAGATGAAGCCAAGGCTGCGAGGGCCGAGGCAAGCTGCTGCGGCTGCAAGGGCTGAGCCCCTTGCACGAATTTCATGCATTGGGCCTCTAGTAAATAAATAAAAATCAATGGAAAAAATATCCCTGGGTGAGGATTAAAAAAAAAAAAATAGAATTAATTCAGTAGTAGAGAACAAAGTGGATTGCTACAGGACTATAACTAAAGCATAAGAAGCAGGTCCCCTTAAGGACAAGCCCTGGGTTCTCCCAGTGCCGGGCAGGTGAGAGAAGGAAGCTCCGGCGAACCTGTCCTGCCCACTCGTGAGCACACAGCCCTGCCTCAGACTGCGCAGAACGGGCCCATCCAGGCACCAGCTCTCAGACCCTCTCATTGGTTTGCACAAAATTCAAGAAGAAAGTTTAAATCAAAGTGGAATCTAAGGCCAAAAGACTACATCCTGTGTAAATCCATTTCATTACATAACCACATGTATTTGTCAACACTCGTCAAACCATACACTTAAAATGAGTGAATTTGATTGTCAAGGGCGGGGAAAAAAAAAAAAAGGACACATATGTAATACCCTTTGTAATACTTTAAGCAAAAAATAAATAAATAAATAAATAAATAAATAAATAAATAAAATAAAAAAATAAAAAATGAGTGAATTTCACTATCCTGTATATTATACCTCAATAAAACTGTTTTTTAAAATCAAATGAGAAAGAAGAGATGTTCCACTTTTACCCTGTTTCTGGCATTTGTCGTTTTGTCGTGCTTGGCCTGGTAGAGGACGTCCTGGTAGGTGGAAGCCAAGGACTCTTCAAGATTGACAAGCATGGCGTTGGGGTTTTTCAAAGCTGCAAATGTGTCAGCGGGAATTCTACGGTCCACAGCTTCGTTAATAGCGATAACGGCAGCATGTACTACAAATAAATTAAAAACACAGAACACCGAGTGATACAGAGTATAGGATATACGTTACACACACAAAACCACCCTGCAACACAACATTACAGAGGGGGCTTCTTTCATAGAGAAATAACACCTGGGGTTGGAGGAGTGGCTCCCTGAGTCCTGTAAGCCCAGTCCCTTCCTTAGGATGCACAAAGCCACATTTGGGACGCTGAATTTGGAAACTCACAGGGAAATATCCACAAGAGAGCCTTGCAAGAAGCATGTGTTAGGGAAATGCTCACCCTTCATCATCATGTAAACACCATATAAAATAAGCACCTCAAAGAGGCACTGAAAAATGCAGACCTCACTAAGTGTTTGTATTATAATCAAAATCAATCACTTATTTCCAAACAATAGCATAAAAGACTATAGCGGTGTTTAAAACTAGATCTACTCGCCCTAGCCGGTTTGGCTCAGTGGATAGAGCGTTGGCCTGCGGACTGAAGGGTCCCATGTTTGATTCTAGTCAAGGGCACATGCCTGGGTTGCAGGCTTGATCCCCAGTATGGGACATGCGGGAGGCAGCCGATCAATGGTTCTCTCTCATCATTGATGTTTCTATCTCTCTCTCCCTCTCCCTTCCTCTCTGAAATCAACAAAAATATTTTTTTTAAATAACAAAATCACAACAACTTAGATCTACTGACCTAAGCCTGCTAGCAAAACTCCTAATGTCCAAGACCATCATTAAAGTATCCATCACTGAAAGAGGTGGCAACAATCCCATCTGAACCCCATTTCTCTCTTACGTGCAGCTTCGTCCACGGAGAGCTCGTTGGCCAGGATGCCCCCGATCTTGCTGAAGGCAGGCATCTGGATCCCGTACTTCTCCAGCTCAATCTTCATGTTGTTGATTTCTTCTTCTGCAGGAGAGAAGTGAGACCCAGGCAGACGAGTTAAGCGCCTTTCCAAAACTCAGAGAAGGAAACAGATCCTTCAACTACAAAAAACGATGAGATGGACTCTACCCCTCAGGGCTGTTAAAAGGATTAATTAGACGGCATTTAACACAGTCCCTGGTACATAACATGCGCTCAGGAGGAGTAAGCTATTATTACTATTATCAAGGGCATCAAAATTAACTACAGCACGAGAATGGCCCTGCTGAAAACTGCTTTTCCAAACGGCTACTTATGGCATTTCCCACGATGAACCTATGAGTAGAGCGGCATCAAAGGATTAGAAGTGAATTAGTTCCAAGCCATCGGCATTTCCATTTTTACAATCAAAACCACTAGTGACTATTAAGCAATTTCGTTTGGACGGCAGGAAGCCCAGTGATAAAGAAAACAACATGGAAGGTCAGGCCCTTGCCCCAGGTCTGGTGAACGACTTCCCTGGGAGGAAAACCAGCACAGATAGAAGTTTTGTTGCTGTTTTTTATATTCCCAGGCCTATGAAAGAATCACCAGTTTGAAAGATTTGAATCTGCCCTACCCCTAACCAATATCACCTCTGATCTTTTTCTCCCGAGCCTCCGTCTTTTCAAGCATCTGACTACAGCAGATACTCAGAGGAAGCTAAATAAACTCAAATTACCCAAATACGTAAAAATTACAAAAGTGTCATCCTTGCCTCCTCTCACTCCCCCACCCTAGCTCTGCCCCCAGGAGATGCCTGTTGGAAGGAAAGGGTTGGAGGAGTGGCTTTTTCACAGCACAGAAGCACTTAAATTTACGTGTTAATACTATATATATATATGCGCTAATATTATCCCCAACTTAGATATAAGAAAACCAAGACTCACAAATCATACCCAGGTCATAACTGAGAGGAAAGAGCCTGAAATCCCAATTTTAGTGTTCTTTCCTCCACCCAGAGGGGAACGCTGTTTATACTGCTTTCATCTCTGCTGCCAGAGTATTTTTAAAGCCCCGCGTCATGAAGATTGGTTTTGTTGACTCTCCAGGCTATTTCCACATAAACTGAGTATTTCCTGCTGGGTTTGCAACTCCTTACCCGTGAAGTCAACCTTTCCATACAGGTCCTGAATCTGAGGAGCCAGGCCTAGTTTGAACAGGTACAAACTAGAAAACACAAATATGCAAAGAGTTAGGCCTCCAGCCATACCTGCCCCTGCTGTTCCTAAAAGGGGAAATCAGCATAAAAAACGGAAACATTCAGCCCTAGCCAGTGTGGCTCAGTGGATAGAGCGTCGGCCTGCGGCCTAAAGGGTCCCAGGTTCGATTCCAGTCAAGAGCACATGCCTGGGTTGCGGGTTCCATCCCCAGTGCGGGGCGTGCAGGAGGCAGCCGATCAATGATTCTCTATCATCATTGATATTTCTCTCTCTCTCCCCCTCTCTCCCTTCCTCTCTGAAATCAATAATTTTATATATATATCAGAAACATTCTGAACAGAGACTCCCAGGACACCACAATATTCCCCATTGCAGTTACCATACTTTACTTCAGAGCCTTTTTTTAGTTTTACATAATAACATTGTCCTAAAAAGTCACATAATGTAATGCAAAGGGCACTGGGCTGGGAATCAGTAGACACAAGTTCAAATCCAAGTTCCAGTAGGAATCTAGTATGTAATTAAATGTTAATATAATTAATGTAAGTGAAGAATCTTCACTTTGGGTTACCTTCCTGTGATCAATGTTTGAAGTAACAAGACATTTTAGAAAAGTCTCATGAAAATGATTCAGATTAAAAAAACATATTTAAACTGAATTCTTATTACCAATGAAAAAGTATCAGGTAATTTAAGAGTTTTAAGTAGAGTACATATATATATATATATACTTTCCTCTTAAATTAAAATCTACTAGACTCTCAGCTTCATGAAAGCAGGGACAATAAATAAAAGCCTTGTTCACCAATGTCTACTCAGAGCCTTGTATCTATATATATAGAAAGCCTAAGCGACTGGCTGACTGCTTGACCGGTAGCTATGACACACGCTGACCACCAGGGGGAAGACGCTCAACACACAGGCATGGAAGCATGGAACAGACTGATGAATCTCAGAGGGAAGGGGGAAGGAGGGAGGGCGGGAAGAGATTAACCAAAGATCTTATATGCGTGCATACTAGAGGCCGGGTGCATGTATTTGTGCACCGGTGGTGGGGTCCCTCAGCCTGGCCTGCAGGGATCAGGCCGAAACTGGCAGTCCAATATACACCCGAGGGGTCCCGGATTGTGAGAGGGCACAGGCCAGGCCGAGGGACCCCACCGGAGCACAAATCTGTGCACCGGGCCTCTAGTATATTAATAAATATCAATCAGTATCTCAGAGGGGCTGGATGAATAATAGATAAATAAATGCCTATAAGACTGAGTTAAGTTAACTGGATTGTAAGGCCCCAGCACATCAGAATCAATAAATGAGAAGACATCAGAAGGACAGTTTATAGGGATGGCCATGAACAAGACATTGACAGTCCAGCAATAAGGGAGGACATAGGAAGTACCTAAGCGCCCAGCTGGAGGGGCCCAGTGGTTGAGCGTAGACCTGTGAACCAGGAGGTCACACGCCGAGTTGTGGGCTCAATGCCCAGCAGGGGGTGTGCGAGAGGCAGCTGATCAATGATTCTCTTTCATTATTGATGTTTCTAGCTCTCTCTCTCCCTCTACCTTCCTCTCTGAAATCAATAAGAATATATACTTTTTAAAAAGTATCTAAGAAACAAACCACAGAAACTCAGTAAAATGGTTTGCAAATAATCTATAAACCTCAGTATTATCTAAACAGAAATATGTATAATGCATATTACATTCACAGAACTGATCAGAACTTATATTGTATAAAAAAAATGTATAATCTACAAAAAAAACAAAAAAAAACCCCACAAATGTTCTGAACACACATTCCAATTTATGCATCCACAGTAGCTAATAATCTTCTCAGGTAAGTACAAGTATAAATCATATTATGATTAAGTGCTTTTCTTCAGAGTACAATGCTCAAGATGGAACTATATAAAGTTCCTCTCTCAGAAGATTTTGAATCTATTAAATAAATTTTCCAAACCAGAAAAGCTACTAACTTCCTGTACATACACTGAGTGGCCAGATTATTATGACCACCCCATCAGTACAATGAAGTGAATTAGTTATGCAAATGATAATAATAATAAAACCTTGAGAGTATTTGCTTAGGATGTTTTCAATATTCAGTATTTCTGGAAGTGTCAATGAAGTACTAGATGGGGCGGTCATAATAATCTGGCCACTCAGTGTATAAAATGTTCCTTTCTGTATTTTCCCCACATAATATGTTCTACCTAAAGTATGAGTTATTTTTCTCCAGGAATTTCTTCCTCTTATTCCTACTTTATAACAGGAAAGTGAATGTCACCTTCACAGCCTTAAGAAGGCTGTGTTAGCTTTCAATGTCCTCAGCAGTAAATTAAAGGTGTTACAACATCACCAGTGTGTGAAAGTAGAGAAGGTAAGACCCCGGCACCATCTTTCCGTGATCTCGTTTTGAGTACTAGGAATATTTAAGGAGATGCTGAAGCTATGGGTGCAATCGTCATGGCCACCTAGATCTTCTTGCCCAAAATCGAAAGTACTAAACCTCAAAGCTGGAGCTTCACAAATGCTAACGGTCCGCCCCCCTTCCCAGGCTTTGTTCCCGCTCTCCCGCGCCCACTTTTACAAATAAGCTGTTAGGTGCCCCTGCCCATCAGCCTATAACGGAGCTCAGATCTCCTTTCCTTTCCTCTTTTCCTATTTAAGTGGTACGTTACGGCAACGAGGAGAAAGAAGCTGTGCTAGCCTATCGGGATTCCAGTTATCTTTGCCGACAGCAGAGTAACTCTGAAGTCACTATGCTAATCTCAAAGATGATTACTAGCCCTAGCTGGTTTGACTCAGTAGATAGAGCATCCCGGGTTCAATTCCGGTCAAGGGCACGAGCCTGGATTGCAGACTCGATCCCCAGTAAGGGGCGAGCCAGAAGCAGCCAATCAATGATTCTCTCTCATCATTGATGTTTCTATCTCTCTCTCCCTTTCTCTCTAAAATTAGTAAAATATATGTTTTTTTTAAAAGATGATTAATAAAGGCTCTGAAACTCAAACACAGCAGCTGATTAGGAAGCAGAACTTAGTACAGGCCCACGATCCCATATCTAAAATCTTTGGGCCAGATATGGATTTAGGACTTCTCAGATAGCAGAAAGGTTTACAGTGTACACAGGATTATAAAACAACTCTAGCAAACTTTGAGGCAGCCCTCCTAAACAAATACATTACTTTCCTGCAGAGAAACATCCATATAATCATACCAAGTACATGAATTCTAAATAACCTCCATGAATTCTGATCAGATTTTGCCAACAAATGAGGTTGAACCAAAGTTAAACTTAGTTCTCAGGGCTTTTAGGGGGTTTTTCTTTTTAATTTAAGATAAAGATCTGTGGGTCTATCAGCGGTTCTCAACCTGTGGGTCGTGACCCCTGAAAATACATCCTGCATATCAGATATTTACATGACGATTCATAACAGTAGCAAGATTACAGTTATGAAGTAGCAACGAAAATAATTTTATGGTTGGGGGTCACAACATGAGGAACTGTATTAAAAGGTCGCGGCATTAGGAAGGTTGAGAACCACTGGATATGATCCCAAAATCAGTTCTTAGAAAGATAACATATAGAAATGTAATTGGAATAATGGAGACTGGGGGTCTTATCTGAGAGTAGAATGTAATCTACAAGAGTAATTTTTTCAGGTGACTAAATACAGTGACTATCGCTGGAATAATGCCAGTCAAGACTGAAAGGCAGGGGGAGAAAGGGAGAACACAGGGAGATGATGCTTCTGTTACTGTTGACCCAGAAGGGAGCGGTGCCTTGCCCAGTGGAGTGAAGAGAGGAGCCTGCCTTGAACGAGGCTGTGTTTTATGGGAAAGAGGCTCCAGGCAGGTACACACGCTTCCTACATATTATCAAGTGTTGCCAACGCCACCCTCCGGGGAAATCACTATTAAGGGAGGAAAGAGATCAGAAGCCGCCAAGCAGAACACACTGCTCTGTTTATACTTTCTAAGCACGGACTGCACACTGAAGAGAAATGAAGAACAATAGCAGACTTCCTCCCTTTCTCTTCGGACTCCGGACTCCGTCACAGTTAACTCTTCATCTCCATTTCGGAGAATCTGAGGGCCTGGGACCCAGGTCACACTGCAGGGACGAGTGGCCGAGAGCTGGCAGAGAGGAATTCGCCAGCTGGGCCTCTGTGCCTGCCAAGTTCAGGTCCCCTTCGGAGGCACGGCCTTCTCAAGGTTATCGACGGACAGACCTCGCGGAACACGAATTTAATCCGAAGAATGCATCTGGCTCTGTCTCAGACTCACACATTTCAAACTCCTACACTATGAAAATTCCCCTCGATATCACCCATTCCTAAACATTTTAAAGAATTCTCAGGTTACCATTGTTTGTTCAACATTATGCTGTGTTCCCTGGAGGATGTAAGGCATGACCTCTGTCCCTAGGATGCTAATAATGTAACCGAGAGAAAAGATTAAAATTATGGAAGAAATAACATATAACTAAAACAAACAAACAAACAAGCAAAAACCACAAAACTAATAAAACCAAGAAACAAACTACAGGAGTTTAGACGAAGGCGTGAGCTAGAGAAATCATAAAATTTCACAGACAGTGGGAATGGAGTGAAGGTTTGACTGGCTCAGCCAAGACAAACATAAAGTCATCTGATAAAGGGCAAGTACCACTTCCCTTGTACATTTATTTATAGGGCAGAGAGTCTCCCCTTCAGCTGAGGGAGGGGCAGGAAAACTTGCTATAATGTATGATTTGGATGAATTTATTGTTTACCTACTATATATGTGAGGCATCTAAGTGCTACAGACACAAAGATAAGGAAAGAATAAAGGAAACAGTTCTTGCCCCCAAGGAGTCCACAAAAAACAAGTGACATAAGAACGAATAACCAGCGTACAATGTAACAAGCACTAGACTTGAAGGAAGAGGTTTCTACAAAGTAATGCTAGAGGAGCACAAAGCAAGGAAGTAGCTAATTCTGCCTGAAAGATAACAAGTTTTAAAAAAATGTATCAAAAAATGTATCTGAAGTGTTAGGGGGAGAAGGGCAGTCTGGCAAAGGCACAGCACAGCACTGGGGTAGGAAGACAAGCGCACAGCTGCAGAGGAGGGAATGGCTGCGGGTGAGCCTGGAACGGAGCCATCCAATATTTTATGGAGGGTCTGATATAAGCAGGGCTGTTCTGGAAAGATAGCTCTGGTGGCAGATGGACCAGGAGGAAAGAGCCTACAGAAGGAACCTTCTAGAAAGGAGGTTAATGCCTTGGTCCACAGAAGAGATTCCCTAGTCCTGAGGGATAGTCTTTCTTTTGTGGGTTTCACACTTTTGTTGGTTCTGGTGATAATCAACATCTGGCACATGTTTGATCTCAATGAAGGCAACAGGCTACTTATTATACAATGTCAATATTATACATACATTCATGTAAATATAACTAGCATGAAGCACGCATACAGCATGCTACATAAAATGAGCAGCCCGAGCAAGAACTCTCACACGCATGTCCCATCACCTTCTCCTTTAGTCCCACAGCCACCGTGTAAATGGGGACCACTCTGAAATACTATTATAAGCACCTACTCCCATCCCGTCCTAAACCCGCCTCCATGTACATCGTCTCTTCCTTCCAATTTTGTATTTTGTTGATTCTAAGTCATATTCCAAATCTATATATATAAAAACTTAATTTGCAAATTGTCCCCTCGGGAGTTCGACCGGGAGTTCGATCGCTTGCTATGACGTGCGCTAACCACCAGGAGGCAGCACAGAATGAAGGAAGGCCCCGGCCGGCAGCCAGAAGGACCCCGATCAGCCCTGATCACCAGCCAGGCCTAGGGACCCTACCTACACATGAATTTCGTGCACTGGGCTTCTAGTTTACTATTAAATGGTGGGGAAAAATTTTCTTTGTTTCAGTTCCTATTTATTTCTTTGGCATAAAATTTATTTAATGAACAAATGGCTTGGTGAGGACCTAAATAACTAAATAAATTATAAATCAACCATTTGATATTTCCTGGTATTATTTGAAGATGTTGACAAAATTTGATTGTACTACTAAAGAGCATCAAGACATAGTTTATTTTGTAATTCAGCTTATCAGCTTGAAACAAAGTGATAAACAATAAAAGTTTCAAATGTATATATTTTTTGTAATTTTTGAGAGATTTTAATTAAAAAGGGACTGCATCCTGTGGGAAATGCATAGTTCACAGAAACCCCAGATCAGTAATGGAAGATTATACTATGTTTTCACACCAGAATTATCTTCTTTTATGGAAATAAATAATCCTTTCTCCCTGCCCCCTAGAAAAACACAGCTGTTTCTCACCATTTTGTTAGAATAATAGTATCCTATTCTACTTAAAAATTCTGAAGCTAATGCACAACCTTTTTCATTATCCCTTTTTCATAGACAAAAAACTACATAGTCGATTCAGATGTTATTCCTAAACTGCTTTTTAAAATTGAGATATCACTGACATACAACATTATTAGTTTCAGGTGTACAACATAATGCTTTCATAGATATAATATTGAAATGATAATTAACATCTGTCACCAAAAATAGTTATAAATTTTTTTCCTTGTGATGAGAACTTTTAAGATCTACTTTCTTAGCAACTTTCAAATATACAACATGATATTATTAACTACTAGAGGCCTGGTGCATGAAATTCATGCACTCAGGGTGGAGGGGTGTCCCTCAGCCCGGCCTGTACCTCTCACAGTCCGGGAGCCCTCAGGGGATGTCCAACTGACGGCTTAGGCCCGCTACCTGTGGGCCTAAGCCGTCAGTCGGACATCCTTAGCGCTGCCATGGAGGTGGGAGAGGCTCCCGCCACCGCAGCTGCGCTCAGCAGCCGTGAACCCGGCTTCTGGCTGAACAGCGCTCCCCCTGTGGAAGCGCACTGACCACCAGGAGGCAGCCCCTGCATAGAGTGTCTGCCCCCTGGTGGTCAGTGTGCATCATACCAATCGGTCGTTCTGCCATTTGGTCAATTTGCTTATTAGCCTTTTATTATATAGGATAGCTACTACACTGCACATTACATGGGCGGGCCTCAATTATTCTATAACTGGAAGTTTGTACCTTTTGACCACCTTCACTCATTTCACCCATCCTTCAACCCCCACCTCTGGCAACCACTGATCTGTTCTCTATGCACTGCTTATTTTACCAAGAAAATCTGATTACCTGAGTGCATGGATACAATAGATACATCGTGGCATGTTCTTTCGGTCATAGATATCTGTAGTTTCTGGGTAAAAAATCTGAGGAGAAATAAAAGTAGTAGAGTAAGTATCCATCTACTGGGTTTCTTTTGATCACTCACCAATCATCAATAACACAAATAAAACATCGGACAGTTAGCAAACATTGTTGGCATTCAGCAAATAACTTAGGGTGAAGAGACATTTAACTATAAATAATGCAAGGAATAAATGCTACAATACAGAATGAAAAAACACTATTTGAAAAAACCTTATTTGGTCAACCCACTGAATGTCCCTGGGTATGTGAAAGTGACTTATGCACCACAGACTCAGTCATGGGCAAATCAATCCCAAGTTCTAGTCCAGTTTACAACACTGGCTTTGCTTTGAGACAGCATAGAGGGACCTTGGAGAGCATCATGCTAAGTGAAATAAGTCAGTCAGAGAAAGACAAGTATCCCATGATCTCACTCATATGTGGAATCTAAGTAAAATAAACTGATGAACGGAGCGGATCCAGAGACATGGAAGCATGGATCAGAGCGCAGGTAGGGGAGGTGGGTGGCTGGGCGGTAATCAACCAAAGACCTTGTATGCATACATGCATGGCCCATGGCCAGAGGCAATGGGGAGGTGAGGGCCTGGGGTAGGGGGCGGGGTAGGTTGGAGGGGGCCTATGGGGCGTGGGGGGAAGAGGTGGCATATGTAATACTTTCAACAATAAAGAATTATTTAAAATAAATAAATAAAACACTGGCTTTGAAGGATTGTAATATTCCTGGTTACTATCTGTGATGCCTAGACTGAGTAGGAATTCCACAAACCGCTACATTTAGACACTGAAAAAACTATCAAACATTACACTATATCGTACTGCTTGGGGGAAGTGGGAAGACACTGAGATGAAGGAGCTAGAATAGAGGGTGTACAGTATGGGACTGTGGGTGATGGGTGGTTTTCCTTGGCAGCACTTAGCACAATCAATCAATCACTTGTGCTATCATCTGCTTGACTCCTCCACCAGCCCATAAGCCACATGAAGGCAGGGACCCGCTCTGAGCTGCTCACTGCTATATCTTCGATGCCAAGCCCAGCGCCAAGTTCATGGAAGGAGCTCTATACTTGACGCATTTGTGAATGAGGTGGAATAGGAACAGAGTAGCTTTAGAGTGTGAATGGCCTTGAAGTTCAAAACCTATTCTCATGGTAATGAGGCACCACACACCACACACACACACACACACACACACACGACTCAAACCTGTAATTTAGTGGGGGGGAAGGCTTGGAGAAGTGAAAGGCTGAATTATAAGGAGATGCTACAGCACTAGGTATCTATTACAGCACTTAATACATTGTGTTCAATTCTTCGTTTCATTGTTGTTGTTTTTAAATACATTTTTGTTGATTTCAGAGAGGAAGGGAGAGGGAGAGAGAGAATCATTGATCAGCTGCCTCCTGCATGTTCCCCACTGGGGATGGAGCCCGCAACCCAGGCATATGCCCTTGACCAGAATCAAACCCGGGACCCTCCAGTCTGCAGGCCGACGCTCTAGCCACTGAGCCAAATCAGCCAGGGCCAATTCTTTGTTTTGATGCTCGTCCCATAATCATCCTGCCTCTCCACTGGAAAGAACTGCCCCCCACATCCCACCCCCGAGAAATGGGATGTATCAGAATCATCCTTTTTGATAATTTTTCCAGCTCCACGTGCTCACTTCCCAATACTGGGATGTCCTCCCCTGAAAGGTGAAAATCCCAGTCGCCAGGAGCCAACCTCCCCGAAAACAGCAGAGAATACAGTTCAGAAACAGGAAAGTAAGGTTGGGTAGGTAGGACGGAATCAGATTGTGAGGCCCTGGAGAGTCAGGCGAGTCTGAACCTGATACGCAGGCCACAGAGAAGTCCTCACTTTGGAGCCAAAGAGTGAAAACGGAGCCTCAGAGCCCCGGGAAGATCTGACTGGAGACAAGACACAGGATGCAGCGAATGGCGGGGAGATGGAAGCTCAGGAGGCCGCTGGCGGCTGTGTCAGCAGATCAAAGAGGCGCTTCTAATAAAGGAGGGAGGCTGGGGGAATCGCTGCATGCAGGAGGCCAAGGGGACGCCAAGGTCTGGAGCCCGGGTAACTGGGAAAATGATAACAAGGTGACATTCATTACAGAGGAGGGGATGTCCACGTGCCGGAAAAGGGAGGTTTAGGTTTCAGACGTGAGAAATCTTAGGTGCTAGAAAGCTATCCAAGGAGAAATGTCCACTTGAAGATACCGTGTTTATCTTATAGCAAAGAGTCTTCAAAATAACTGAAACCGCCCGGCCGGTGTGGCTCAGTGCCTGAGCGTCGACCTATCAACCAGGAGGTCACAGTTCGATTCCTGGTCAGGACACCTGCCCGGGTTGCGGGCTCGATCCCCAGCATGGGGCATGCAGGAGGCGGCCGATCAATGATTATCTCTCATCATTGATGTTTCTCTCTCCTCTCTCCCTCTCCCTTCTTCTCTGAAATCAATAAAAAAATATTTTAACAATAATAATAAAAATAACTGAAATGAGAATGAGAGAATGTAGCATCATAAGGAATGCCCACTAGTAGGATATGGAAGATAGAATAGTTGAAGAAAACAGAGGACTAGTTGGGCAGATTAAGAACAATTTAAAAAATCAAACTCAAAATAACAAAAGTATTTCATGGAGGAGGTGGCCAACAGTACCAACCATAATAAACAGTCAAGAAGGATAAGAACCAAGAATTTATCACAGTAAGTTTCTATAATTAACCTATATTGTACCATATAAAGAGATCAGGAAAGACATCCCAATAAATACTAAATATGTACTGTTGATCATATATCATATGTTATACCACGGCCAACAATACATGTTCAGGCTGAGTGTCTTCTGTTTACATTACTCAGAAGTCTTCTGGACCGAAATCATTAGGGGTAGACATTTCAAAACTGACAGCCCGGAAAGTCCTGCTGTCCTGGAAAGCCTTTGAGTTTCCATGTTTGTTAATTGTGGTCCAGGACAATGCATTATTGTTAGTCAACAAAAAAGGTAATAAAAGCCAATCATTAAAAAGGCATTTTAGCCCGGCCAGCGTGGTTCAGTGGGTAGAGCATCAGCCTGCTGACCGAAGGGTCCCGGGTTCGATTCTGGTCAAGGGCACGTATCTAGTTTGCAGGCTCCTCTAGGCCTGGGCCCTGGTCAGGGCTCGTGCAAGAGGCAACCAATCGATGTGTTTCTCTCACATCAGTGTTTCTCTCTGCGTTCCCCTCTCTCTCCCACTCTCCCTAAAAATCAATGAAAGAATATCCTCGAGAGAGGATTAACAAAAAAAAAAAAATACAACAAAAAAGCATTTTATAATAAGAATACTACTCCTAGCAACAGCAAATATTAACAAGGCTCTGAGTACCATTCAAAAGAGGTTAAGTCAGCCCTAGCTGGTTTGGCTCAGCGGATAGAGCGTCGGCCTGCGGACTCAAGGGTCCCGGGTTCGATTCCAGTCAAGGGCATGTACCTGGGTTGCGGGCACATCCCCAGTAGGGGGCGTGCAGGAGGCAGCTGAATCGATGTTTCTAACTCGCTATCCCTCTCCCTCTCCCTTCCTCTCTGTAAAAATATCAATAAAATATATTTAAAAAAAAAAAAAAAAAAGAGGTTAAGTCATCTTGCCCAATAGGCACACCACACAAAAAACAGGAACAGGAAGTTACAGGTGCACAGAAAGGCCAAGTAGCTGTCAGAATTTGACGTACTGCATTTCCTGACATTGTGGGGCCTAATTCTCAAACACACCAGTGCAAGGAAGACAGCTTCAGCACTCTGCTCTGAAGAAAAGAGGACAAAAACTTGTCTTCGGCGAAGATTCAGCTCTGGATTTAACTCAGTTCAACAGACAGACATGCAACAGTGAGCTCAGCACTGTGCTACACATTTACAATTGGCTGTGGGCACTTCCTAATACTCCACATCTCCTCCCCCCCCCCCTTCACTTTTTGTTGTTGTTTACAAAAATTTAGCCTATAGAACAGTATAAAGAAAAAGAAAAAAAAAGCCCAGCCGGCGTGGCTCAGTGGTTGAGCATCAACCTATGAACCAGGAAATCACGGTTCGGCATATGCCTGGGTTGCGGGCTCCATCCCCAGTAGGGGACATGCAGGAGGCAGCCAATCAATGATTCTCTATCATCAATAAAAAAAAATATTTTTTTTTTAAAAAAAAAAAACAACCCTAATCCCATCACACAAAAATGAAAGCTGTATTTCCTAACAGATTTTTCCCAAGAACATTCACTTTATTTTTACACAAAAATAGTGATCTCATCTTAGCCAGAACATAAACTCTTATAACCTTAGCCTATTATGTTATTTTTCCACTTAGCACATCCCAGACAACTTCCTTTGTCAATTCAGAGTAACGTCATCCTTTTTTATGGCTGCACTGGGCTCTGTCTGCATCACAATTAATTCCCTAGTGAAGGGACATGTGGTTTGCTATCAATTCTTTCTACCATAAGCAAGGCTGAAAAATCCTTACATATACATCTTTTTATGCTTGTCTGATCATGGTGGAGGGATAACTTCTTAAAAGAATTCTTAGGTCAAAGAATTGGGGTGGGGTAGTAAAGAAAGATGCCATGCCTCTAAGAATGATAATACAGCCCTAACCGGTTTGGCTCAATGGATAGAGCATCAGCCTTCGGACTCAAGGGTCCCGGGTTCGATTCCGGTCAAGGGCATGTACCTTGGTTGCAGGCACATCCCCAGTGGGGAGTGTGCAGGAGGCAGCTGATCGATGTTTCTCTCTCATCGATGTTTCTAACTCTCTATCCCTCTCCCTTCCTCTCTGTAAAAAATCAATAAAATATATTTAAAAAAAAAAATGATAATACAGCACAGCCTTTACGGGTTCTGGTGGGACGGGTAGCTAGAGATGGCAATTTCACTAAGAGCAGCACTAAACAGACTCCTGAGCAAAACAGTCAAGGATGGCCCGGCCAGCATGGCTCAGTGGTTGATGAACCAGGAGTTCCCGGTTCGATTCCCGGTCAGGGCACATGCCAGGGTTTCCCACTCAGTCCCCAGTGGGGTTCATGCAGGAGGCAGCCAATCAATGATTCTCTCATCATTGATATTTCCATCTCTCTCTCCCTCTTCCTTCCTCTCTGAAATCAATAAAAATATATTTTTTAAAATGACCCTTCAAACACCCTAAATTTGGTTATTCTGAAGCTGGAAGATAACATTTCTAAAATATTTCCTAAAGTTAAATTTTAATGAAACAACATTGTTAATAATAATAATAACCCGCTGAATTATATACTTTAAAATTTATGTGGTGTCTGGCAGAATATCATGGTATGTGAATTTTAATGTAAGTCTACAATTTGATGTAATAAAAGTAAATGATATCACAAGGAATTTCTCTAAGGTGGGGTGAAGCAGGGTTGAGGAATATAAAACAAAAAGAACAAAACTATTTTCTAAAAGGAACAGAAGAAAGAGATCTTAAGTACTTTTAAAAAAAAATCACCACAGATTCCATTGAAAATAAAGAATACTTTCATAAGTAGAGTGAGAACCCTTATGCCAAGACAGAGCTGAGCCAGAACTATGACTATCACGTGGATTACCTTAGGCAAGCCAATCTCGTCCATGGCATTCAACCACTGAATCACATTATCCGTGTGTCGGAAGTGGAGGCCAGTCGCCTAGAACAAATAAAAGACCATTAGGCGGGGGCGAAGGGGGTCCTAATATAAGGTGACAGGAGAAGATCGGACTTTGGGTGGTGGGCACACGGTGCACTATACAGATCTGGTAACATAGAAACCCACACCTGAAACCTATATGTTCATGCTGACCAGTGTCACCCAATCAATTTAATAAATAATTTGTTTTAATTTAAAAAAAGACACGTTGCCAAAAGTGACACAATACTAAATAAAAACTCTCTTGCAAGTTTCCTAGACAAACTTTACAAGGTCCCCTTAAATTCAAGGTCTGTCCATAGCATTATGTTCACATTCCAATCCCAAAAAGCCCAATCCACATCTCCGCTCCTCTCATTTAAAAACTATCCGGAGAGACCCAGCCGGCATGGCTCAGTGGTTGAGTGTTGACCTATGAACCAGGAGGTCACAGTTCGATTTCAGGTCAGGGCACATGCCCGGGTTGCGGGCTCGATCCCCAGTGTGGGGTGTGTAGGAGGCAGCTAATCAATGATTCTCTCTCATCATTGATGTTCCTATCTCTCTCTCCCTCTCCCTTCGTCTCTGAAATCAATAAAAATATATTTTTTTTAAAAAAAAGAAGCCGAACCGGTTTGGCTCAGTGGACAGAGCGTTTGGCCTGCGGACTCAACGGTCCCAGGTTCGATTCCAGTCAAGGGCATGTACCTTGGTTGCGGGCACATCCCCACTGGGGGGCGTGCAGGAGGCAGCTGATCGATGTTTCTCTCTCATCGATGTTTCTAACTCTCTATCCCTCTCCCTTCTTCTCTGTAAAAAATCAATAAAATATATTTTAAAAAATAAATAAATAAATAAAAGATAGGTTTCTATCTGAGATCTTAATTTGGCTTTGGCTTAGGGTCTATACCTTCCTTGTTTCCCTTTAAATTTGAACATAAAAATCTCTTTTGGGGGGGGACCAAAAAAAATCTCTTTTGATTGCATCTTCATCCTTAGCTCATTATTACAGTCAACTGCTCTTACATTCGCTGTTGGTTTTGCCATCTTCCACTATTTTATACGCATCCTTATTTCAAATAAGAGCTCTGAGGAAGGCTCCCCACAGAAGCTCTTAGATGACTAATTTTGGTCCCTGTCAACTGAACTAAGCAGTCTTCTTACTCAGGGCCGTGGGCCACAGGAATCAAACCCTTTCACTTATCTCCATTTTCTGAAACTGGATCGCCTTCCCACTTTACCTTGCACTCTAATATCACAGGTGGATCTTTTTTCCCTAAAGTTGCTAATGCTTTCAATCTGCCAACAAATCTCAGGACTTGGTTAAAGTTAAAGTAGTTCCTCTAGTTACTTCCGCTACCTTCTAAGAAAAAAAAAAATTCATCAAGGCCCTAGCCAGGTTGGCTCAGTGGATAGAGCATCGGCCCATGGACCAAAGGGTCCCGGGTTCAATTCCGGTCAAGGGCGTGTTCCTTGGTTGCAGGCTCCTCCCCCGCATGGCCTTGGTCAGGGTGAGTGCAGGAGCCACCAATCAATGTGTTTCTCTCACATCGATATTTCTCTCTGTCGTTCCCTCTCTCTAAAAATCAATGGAACAATATCCTCAGATGAGGATTAAAAAAAAAATTTTCACAAGGACCATGATGAGACCCACCATCGCAAGAAATGTATCAGAAATACAAACAGCTGAAGTTCTACTACTATATCTTGATTTTGCACTATTTTCTACACTTTTGTTGGAACAAACACCCTTAAACTCGTTTCTCAGTAACTCGTACACAGGAGAAAGCATGCGAACCTCTCTCACGTTCACGGCCGTGCTGGCGCCACGCCGGGAGGACTCACCTTGTATCTGGTCTGCTCCCGGTCGTAGATTTTCTTCAAGGACACCACTTTGGGAGAGAAGAAGTTCCCGAGTTTGGCGAGGTAGACCCCGTTTCGAAGGCCCTCCTCCAGCTCTGTGGTAGGAGGCAGGTCTTCCCCCAGGCATGCTTCCATCCACCTGCACAGAGGGAGAGAGGACTTGAGACAAGGCAGGGAGGACTGAAGCATTCCTCAGAGGATCAAGCTTAATTTCCATTCTCCTCGGATAAGCAACACGCCTTTACGATCCAAGTTCAGCGTCAACCAGGAGGTCACGGTTCGATTCCCGGTCAGGGCACATGCCTAGGTTGTGGGCTTGATCCCCAGTGGGGGGCGTGCAAGAGGCAGCCGATCCATGATTCTCTCTCATCATTGATGTTTCTCTCTCTCTCTCCCTCTCCCTGACTATCTGAAAACAATAAAAAAAATATTTTTTTTTATAAAAGATCCAATTTCACAAGCCTTGTCCTGACCCAGTCAGATCTGAGGCAGGGAACTTGGAAAACTTCTGGAGCATGAATGCCACCTTCTTCTCTACCCTACTTTCCTCTCTGCCGCCCCAGAGCCAGCTGGCTCCCAGGTCCTGACTGTCCCATGCACCTCGGATCCGTTCCCTCAGTCCTTAGGTTACTCCTTAAGGACTCCTACGGAAAACCATTTGTAACCGAAGCCACCATCTCAACTGTTTTATTGCCGAAGTTCTCCTCTGGTTTTAGCATTCAGAACCCACAGTGAATTTCTAGGTTCAAGGTTTTATGGTTGTTTGGGGTTGCCAAAATAGTCAGTTATCTTGGCTAAAACACTGAAGGTACCTCTCATGAAAGCAATAAAAATGAATTCTTCAGTGCTTTTCAGAGAAGAAGAGGTTGTAAAGACAGAAGGAAAACTGTATTTTGTCCCTTGAACACTTCTCTCAAGATTTCAGGGAAGCCCAAGATACAACAAATCAGAGTTTAATTGCATATGTTTTCTACAAACGAAAGGTATGTAACTAAAAATCATTTAGAGCAATGATTTTAAACCATTTTTTTGAGTCACAGAATCCTCTGAACATCTAAGAAACACTATATGATCCCCCAAATCAGTGACGCCCTAGACCCGTGGTCGGCAAACTGCGGCTCGCGAGCCATAAGCGGCTCTTTGGCCCCTTGAGTGTGGCTCTTCCTAAGCCTTAGGAGTACCCTAATTAAGTTAAATAACAATGTACCTACCTATATAGTTTAAGTTTAAGAAATTTGGCTCTCAAAAGAAATTTCAATCGTTGTACTGTTGATATTTGGCTCTGTTGACTAATGAGTTTGCTAACCACTGCCCTAGACAGTTTGGCTCAGTGGATAGAGCGTTGGCCTATGGACTGAAGGGTTCTGGGTTCGATTCCGGTCAAGGGCACATGCCCGGGTTGTGTGTCTCCCTTCCTTTCTGAAATCAATAAAAAAATATTTTTAAAAAATAATAAGCCGTAGCCGGTTTGGCTCAGTGGATGGAGCGTCGGCCTGCGGACTGGGGGGTCCTGGGTTCAATTCCGGTTGGGGGCATGTGCCTTGGTTGTGGGGTGTGCAGGAGGCAGCTGATCTATGTTTCTCTATCTCATTGATGTTTCTGGCTCTCTGTCCCTCTCCCTTCCTCTCTGTGAAAAATCAATAAAATATATTAAATAAATAAATAATAAGGAAAAGCAACCATTTCCCGTTTTTCTCAAGTTCTATCGAATAGTCACTCAACCTCATTTTGAAATCTGTTATACTTTTAAAGCAGCCAGCATATTGTCTGCCCCATAGTCGACTCTTAAATAAAGACTGCCTGGATATATGAATGGGCGAGAGAATTTTCTGGTCATTCTCTCAATTCAACGATAATAAATAAAATTTCCTCTTCTGACTTTTCTTTCAGGTAGAATTTAAATGTCAGGGATGAGGAGGGGGAGAAGGGGTGGGGGTGGGAAACAAATGAGTTTTTCAGAAGAGATGCCAGAGTCACTAAATTAGATAGCAATTTGTAACAGTTACAAAATCCAAACTCTACTTCAGGAAGAACCTAAAGACCACAGGACGATGGGGAAAACAGTGTAGGTTATTGGTACAGAAAACGGGTGTAGTCTCAGGACAAACCTCATACAGCCATCCCTCCAATATGTCACTGCTGAAAGGACACAGCAAACAGCTCCTGGCAACCCAGCCCTCGGGGGAAGTCTACCCTGTGATCTCATTGACAGGGACATCCTAGAACAGTGGTTCTCAACCTTCTGGCCCTTTAAATACAGTTCCTCATGTTGTGGTGACCCCCAACCATAAAATTATTTTCGTTGCTACTTCATAACTGTAATGTTGCTACTGTGATGAATCGTCATGTAAATATCTGATATGCAGGATGGTCTTAGGCGACCCCTGTGAAAGGGTCGTTCGACCGCCAAAGGGGTCGCGACCCACAGGTTGAGAACCGCTGTTCTAGAACAACTCAGTGTGAGCCAGCAGCAGCTCTTTGCCATGTAACAGTATGAAGAAAAAATTACTTTTCTTCTCAAAATAAGGTGAACACACAGGGAAGACGATGAATAAGCAGCACAGGATGTGTTTTTGCCTTGAATCAGAGCCAGTTACCAAAGTTGTGTGGGCTTTCCTCTCCTCTGGGATTACTAGATTAATATCAGCCCCAGCCGGTTTGGCTCAGTGGATAGAGCGTCGGCCTGGGAACGGAAGGGTTCTGGGTTCGATTCCGGTCAAGGGCACATGCCCGGGTTGTGGGCTCGGTCCCCAGTGAGGGTGGTGCAGCAGGCAGCTGATCAAAAATTCTCTTTCATCACTGATGTTTCTCTCTCTCCCCCTCTCCCTTCCTCTCTGAAATCAATAAAAATATATTTAAAAAATATATATCCAAGTAAAAGCAGGGACCATGCAACATCTCCCACAATCCTCTCTGTGCTTTCCCTAGTCTGACTGCTGTAAAACAGTCCAGATTAACAGCTACACCAGGACATTTCCTGTAGTGACGCAGAACATCACTCAAGGGTCAGGTCAGAGGGAGAGAAGCCAACTGTGATTTGGTGAAAGGGAGAGACAGTCAGAGGGCTGGGAGAGGCAGGCAGGCTGTCACCAGAAAGACAAGAAGTAACAAGTGTTGGGGAGGATGTGGAGAAAAGAGAACCGCTAAGCACTATTGGTGGGACTGTAAATTGGTGCAGCCACTCGGAAGGCAACAGGGAGGGTCTTCAAAAAATTAAAAACAGAACTGTCATAGGACCCGGCCATCCCACTTCTGGGTATACAGTCAAAGGAAGTGAAACGAAATCTGGAGATCAAGGGTAGGTGTGAACTCCCCTCTTCATTGCAGCATTATTCACAACAGCCAAGATATGGAAGCAACCTAACTGTCCATCAACATATGAATGGATACAGGTGTTGTGTGTGGTGTGTGTGTGTGTGTGTGTGCGTGTGTGTGTGTGTGTGTGAGAAACGAAATATTCAGATATGAGAAAGAAAATCGTGCCATTTGTGACAACATGGATGGAATTTGAGGGCATTATGCTAAGTAAAATAAGCCAGACAGTCCTGACTGGTTTGGCTCAGTGGATAGAGCATCGGCCTATGGACTTAAGGGTCCCGGGTTCGATTCCAGTCAAGGGCATGTACCTTGGTTGCGGGCACATGCCCAGTGGGGAGTGTGCAGGAGGCAGCTGATCGATGTTTCTAACTCTCTATCCCTCACCCTTCCTCTCTGTAAAAAATCAATAAAATGTATTTTTAAAAAATGTAAGCCGGACAAAGACAAATATTGCATGGTATCTCTTCTATGTGCAATCTAAAAAACAACGCAAAAAAAAAAATCTCGTAGAAATAATAGAAAAGTGGTTCCAGGAATACGAGAAATAGGGACAGGTTGGTAGAAGAGTACAAACCTCAAATACATAACACATGGTGAGTACAGCTGAGAACACTGTGCTGTATAAGTGAAATCTGCTGAGAGTAGAATATAAATAAATGTTCTTACCAAAATAAATAAATATGTGAAGTGATGGATATGTTAATTAACTAGATGATCCTTTTACAATGTGTACGTATAACAAGTCATGACAATGTACTTAAAATGTCTTATAATTTTGTATGCTAATTATACCTCAATAAAGCGGAAATAAAAAATAAAATCATTGCCCTAACCGGTTTGGCTCAGTGGATAGAGCATCCTCCTGAGGACTGAAGGGTACCAGGTTCAATTCTGGCCAAGGGCACATGCCCGGGTTGTGGGCTCAATCCCTAGTAGGGGCCATGCAGGAGGCAGCCAATCAATGATTCTCTCTCATCAATGATGTTTCTATCTCTCTTTCCTTCTCCCTTCCTCTCTTAAATCAATAAAAAAATATACTTAAGGTGGTGGGTTTGATTCCTAGTCAGGGCACAAACCTAGGTTGAGGTTCAAATCCCCAGTCAGGGCGCGTGTGGGGGGCAACTGCTTGGGGTTTCTCTTTCCCTTCCTCTCTCTGGAATCAAGTTATTTTTTAATTTAAGTACAAAAAGTAATAATCCATGCACAAAAGAAAAAGCATTGGCCACACAACTTTTTACCAATTTTCATGTTTAACACTGTCTTCTATTCATAGAATCTCGCGGTTGGAAAGCTCATTAAAGATCTAGTCTGCACCAACTCCTCCACTCCCCTCTCACCTCCCACTCCCTCTCTCTTTAATGCCCCAACGCTCCCAAACCATCACAGTCCATTTTGACGCTATTGCTGGGAGGTAAAGTGCAAGGGGGGAACGCTGGGGGGGGGGGGGGGGATGAAGAAGTCGGTGGGCTGGATGGTGCAAGGCCTGTCTGTCAGGCTATGAAGCCTTTCTTTCATCCTAGTCATGGGGGACACTACAGGGTTTTAAAAGGGGGATGACCTGGGCAGGTCTGGGTTTCAGAAAATCACTCTGACCACAATGTGGGGATTTCACATTTTTCTTCAAGTACAAATGTTTCTACAGGTACAGATGTTCTAACAAATCAGTCACTTATGCCCTAGCCGGTTCGGCTCAAGTGGATAAAGCGTTGACCTGTGGACTGAAGGGTCCCAGGTTCAATTCCGCTCAAGGGCACATGCCTGGGTTGTGGGCTCCATCCCCAGTGTGGGCTGTGCGGGAGGCAGCCGATCCATGATTCTCTC